CTCTATAAACCCGGACCTTCCTCGAAATTACAGCAAATTATCATTGCTCATTCACAATCTCAATTGCGCAGATCGATGCTCATGTTGATCACTGGATTGTCTGGTCCAGACACGATTATTTACAGGCCGCCGCCATATAGCTGGAATATTGCTGAGTGCGGCGTAAAACTAAACTCACCCACTTATTTGCAATCTGTATCTGATAGCGAACACATGTCTGGACGAGTAATGTAAGGTAAATACTTACCCTCTGTGGTCTATCCTATGTATTTTATTACCCACAATGTGTTGCAAGCCATAGACAAACTACTCGAGTAGAACACTCTAAAAGATCACTTCTATCAAAACTGAAGATCTGACGTCGAGAGAAGCCCAAGAGGGCATTATTTAACTACATTGTATATATAAGATAATCCTTTATTTGAAAACTCTCCTTCTGCCTAAACAAATATATCAGCCCATCCTGAAATGATGAACTTGTATTAATATATAGTGATAAGACCCCGTTAGTGACAGTACATACCTTGATGGCAGTTTTAAGCGTTACAAGCCCCCGTGAGCTTCAGAAACAAGTTCTTTTTTTCAGAATCATACCTTCACAAACTAAACTTTAATAACTTGATAACACGACAAACATTTAAACAATCATGTCTAATGATAACTAGATAAGCTCAAAATATCTCTAATAATCAAACTAAACTTCAACATTCTCAATCTAATGCCCTTTTCAGAATGTGACAGCTTGTAGAAAAGAATTTCAGTAGCATATCTCCATAAATTCAATATTGACGGCATATCCTCACTTCCACAAACTAAAATAGAAAATATTAAATGAAAACTGATCTTGCAGATGTATTCTGACTTTAAAATACTTGGACAACAGAGAAATTCTTTCATGTGGTCAGATCAGAGGTAGTCACTGAGCGCTCTATACCGGAAGGTCTGGAAAAAAATTGAACCAGTAAAAGCATCTCTCATTGATATTTCATCACAGTTCTAGAAACAAATCAAAAGTAAATGGCATTCAATTACATTTTCAATTCATTATTGTAAAGCTTTAAAGAGTTCAGAATGCAGTGAGTGAGTGGGTGTAGATTTACGCCGCACCCAGCAATATTCCAGCTATATGTCGGCGGTCTGTAAATAATCGAGTCTGGACCAGACAATCCAGTGATCAACAGCATGAGCATCGATCTGCGCAAATGGGAACCGATGACGTGACAACCAAGTTTCAGAATGCAGCTGCAAGGGTTGTCAGTCGTTCAAACATTACCTCTATACTCAAGGAACTGTGTTGCAGAGTTCAGTTCAAGATTCTGACTTTGATTTTCAAGGCAAACATGGCCTTGTACTACCATCCATCTGCAATCTTGTTAAAGATCATATTCCATCTGGGCGGTGGGGTAGCCCAGTGTTTAAAGCGTTGGCTCGTCACGCCGAAGATCCGGGTTCGAATCCTCACAGGGGTACAATGTGTGAAGCCCATTTCTGGTGTCCCCCGCCGTGATGTTGCTGGAATATTGCTAAAAGCGGCTTTAAACCAAACTCAGTCAGTCATATTCCATCTCGATGTTTACGTTCAGGTTCTCAGAATCCCGTGTGTTCCAAAAACACGCACCAGTTCTTATGGTGACAGAAGCTTTTCCAAGGCTGGTCTCGTACTATGGAATTCAGTCCCAGACAACCTCATTAACATTCAGACCCTCAGCGACTTGAAAACTCACTTCTTCGAAATGACATACAACTGAAAAACTCTGTGTCAGAACTCCTGTAAGGGCCATTGAGAAGATTGTGACGGACTGGAAACAGGCGCTATATAAATGACTGATTTGATTGATTGATAACAATGCTGGCATGCTGGTCATGTAAACAAAATCACATGTGAGGGGGTGCATTGAGACATTTGATTCCAAAACTACGTGTACATAAAAATCCGTACAAGGAGAGATTTATTGCAGGTTCCAGCAAATGTACCACCAAATCTCTGTCTCAGAGATCAACTATAATCCTTAATACTATCAAGGAAGGACTTTCTCGATATTCACAGAACATTTTTTGAGACAAGCGGAATTAATACCATGTGGATTCTCAAAAACTCAACGCATTTGCTAACATTTTTAGAATTTCAGAAACGGACCGAGTGTCTTTGATTTTTCATTGTATACCACTATCCTAAAACCATGTTGATTCGTGTAGGGCTTTTTTTCAACATTCAGAGGTATCACCAAAATTAAAGCTGTCATTGGAAGTTTATCGAAAAAAATATGTGTCTACGTATCTTTTTTGCCAAGCCAACGTAGGCATCTCCATGGGCACCAATTGTTGTCCCCTCCTTGCGGATCTGTTCCCGCATGTGAGTAAGAATTTCTGCTTAGGGTTGCAAAATCAAAATATGGTAATTTGGCCAAGAACTTTAACTTAAGCTTCCGGTACATCGATGATTTAATATCGTTCAATAACCATCAAACAGCCAAATGCCTTCCACTGATTTATCCACCTGAACTTGAAAATCAGGAGACACGTGAGAGCGCCTCAACTGTTTCATACATGTACTTACAGGATCGTCGCCATTGTCGTTTCAGCCACAATGGAATTGGTACATCAATGTTGGAAGCTGTGTCAAATATCCCTCTTCACAATATACATGTCACAGAGTGGCTTTGTAGCAATCTGTTTTGACACCTATGCTTTTAACTTCCATATTGACATTGATGTTCACCTACAAAATTGTCTTTCTGCATGATTGTTTTGAGTCATCAGAGCACACCATACATTGATGTTAGATATGCACGTGCTATACACTCAAAGGCGAGCATCACATATATTCAATACATGTATCCACCATGAAACAAATATCAAGTTTTGTAAACCGTTCTTTCAGATCGATAATCAGATTGATTTCAATGTTGATAATCAAATATTAGGGCATCCTTAAATGACAACTGCTCAAAATGGCAAGTTATCGGTATGCGGAATGTAATTGAGGGCTGTTGCAAGAAATGTTGGTTGTAACCCATCGGCTATCAACGGATTGGCCAAAAACATCAGCAAACTAATGAGGGTTAAGGACCGTCCTAGGGGGCATACGGCCTTCTCAGAATCACAAGACTTCATCCGTTCACGTCAAGTGGCTTCCACGGGACGACAGAACTGTCCAAAATGGAGACAAATCGGCCGACCAGTCGTCCATTCTTATCACCAGAGCACAAAGCAGCTCGACGTCACAGGAAAAGGTCGGGTGACTTTCAGGTCGATTTCTTTTGTTCATAACTGATGGTAAACTCTGGCAATTGTTCTTCAGAAACATGCTCCAGTCGTTACAAAGAAAGTGAGTGATCGGGAAAGATCATACTGTATGATGAACGTGTTCTGAAGGCTAAACGTAAACGTCGCATAGCTGAACGTCAGTGGCGAAAGTCTGGCCTTGAAGTACATCGACAGATCTACAAGAGTGCTAGGAATGATCTCAACCGGATTATTCGTACAGCAAAGTGACTACAATTAGGATAAAGGGAATGGAATGGAATCCCGGTAAACTTCATAATTTTATTAAGCAACTACTTGGTAGAGAAAAGGATCCTAAGTTAAGGACCGTTTTGTTAAGAGTCAAAATCGGGTTTCAGTCTGCTTGCAGAAATAACAATAAGGAGTTGGTAGGTGTCATGGGCGGTGCTCGATAGGCCAATCATCCATGATTAAACGATTGCATGCGATGGTAGCGTAGCGATCGGCAAAGCAGGCCGGTGGGGTGCACCGAAGTGTCCGGCCTTGTCATAATGTATTGTACTGTGAAGTATTTCGAGTCGGGGGTCATCTGAAATGTTTATATATATATTTTTTTTAATCTGTAGTCCTTGCAAAGACACGAGGGCCTGTGGTTATCAGACCTCTTATAAAGACGAACAACCTGGATCGAAATTCATTAAGTAATTATAGACCTGTATCTAATCTAACTTTTCTTTCAAAGGTTTTGGAGAAGGCAGCACATGTAAGGTTGAGAGAACATCTGGTGAACAACAAACTGCTGGATCATCAACAGATTCTTCAACGGTGACTTTCAGTCATGTTACACAACACCAAATGTTTTATCGCACCAACCACAGTACCGAGACAGCATTATTGCGGGTACTGAATGAACTGAGGACATTGTGACATACATGTTTGAGCTTCAAGGGACAGAGATTTCCAAAATCAGCATCGTGATCACACTCCACAACATAAACATGTCTTAAATCCCATGAGCTAAAACGAAGATATGTGACAAATGTGTTATATGTTATTCCGAATAACCTAAAGCATATATACTACCAGGGATGCTCTACAACTTATATAGTCTCCCCGATATACTACCCATCAAATGTTTAGCCTCAGTAGTGTAAAGTAGCCACTTAAATACTTCAGGCAACTATTCTAAACTAGATTTTGCAAAATGTGCCATACTGTTTAAAGGTACTGTTTACACACGAACTGACTTATTGTAAAACAAATTCGTAACGTTGAAATGATTATTGTCACGTGTTCAATAAATGGTGAAACTCGGTAAAATTGGCGAATTCTTAACAAAACTTTACACCAACACGCAGCTGTTCACATGCACGATATTTGCACATGCTTTTCAGCGATTTGATGCATGATCCTCCTGCAATTCATCTGCATAATGCAACCATATAGATATACATAACATATAACCATATAGATATACATAACATATAGTGAGGGCTTTAAGTGAGTCTAAACTTTTGATGGGTAGTATATGATTTCAGAATGTAAATCAAGAAATGAGAATTGGACAAAGTTGATATTTAGGAGATAAACATACTGTTTTGGAAATCAGAGGTATATAACGAAATTATAATAGCTCTAAATTTCAATTTGATTTAAAACCGAACGCGTAGCGTGATGTTCTTTGTAAAGAAAACTGGACAACGTTCAGCGCACATCAATCATGGTACCGGTTAATCACACACAGATTACCAGTTGATTACCAGTTTATCTCGCGAGAACGTCACCATGGTGATTTGTCTGTAAACGACGCCATTGTTGTTTAGCATGTTGGCTTGTTGTGCACACTTCAAATCTAGATTTACACGATTTGTTGTACACTTCTTGCAAGCATAGGACCATGTTCACGAGTGTGGCAAGCGTTTTTCATCAGGGTATCTTATTTTAGTCTTGTTATGTTGTTATTTTTTATCTTCGGGCTAAGGATTTATGCCCGTTGATCAGACATATCTGGCTATTATGATTTTACAGGGACAAATTCTCGTTATCTTCCCTTACATATTATGTCAGAAACTACATTCATACTAGTTTGTAAGTTTGTAGTTTGAAAATAAGTTTCAGTTTTATTTCACGGAATAGTCTACTTGATTTTTATTTATCTGATTTGTATTTCCTTTTATTTGTTTTGTGTTGGCCACGAGAAGAACCTTCTTGAAATAAACTGATTCGATAAGAGTCATAAGGTTTATGTACCACTTCTTCATGTAGTATTTCCCTTGGCAGCTCGGGAAGAGTTGAGAAAGTCTCAACAATCTACCATTGGTGCCTCCCTCTCCGACCATCCTGTCCCTCTCCCAGTAGGTCATGAAGGGAGCTTTCCTTGTTTGTTGGTGTAATCATTCGGGCTATACGTTATGGGTTATACCTTATACACTCTATAACACAGGGAGTCTTTTTGAAACGTTTATATTCTTCATTTCTTTCCAATAAGATTGTTGTGTGGTTTTCTAATGCCTTATAATCAGTTATGATAAATTGGTATTAATCAAACAACAAATTTGGTTGTGGAACCATTTTCATTTGGACATTTCATTCAAAAGATCCTAAAAATCATAATCATCAAATAAGCAAGTAGATGTAGATAACATTTTTCTGGATATTTATATGTTAAAGAAGTCATTTCATATGGTAAGAATCAGTTGATTCCTAAATGTATTTTACCTCTGTCTGCTTTACCTACACTGAAAAAACACCACATCTCTTCCCTCTTTAAGCTTTCAACTGCTGAAGTTGATTCCCTGCCCATCACCCAGACCCCTCTCCCTAACCCTGCCCTCCGGTCATTGTGCGGTTCCTCCATGAACTTAGAGCAGGACATCCCAGAGATAGACTTGGGAGATCCCACAAAACCATGTGCAATGCTTTCCTCCATTGACTTGAGGCAGGACATCCCTGAGATAGACTTGGGAAATCCCACATCACCATTTACAGTACAGCCTGTAAACACAGAATCCTATGTCCTGATTGATGTGAGCCACCTGGAAGAACCAAGTCAGCCACAGTCATTTGAGACAGCATGCTGCTCCAGTGTCTTCAGCTTCATCAAGGGACTATTCACTCTGTACTAGATGGACATGTGATGTGGATTATAAATATAATGTATTCATAAAGAATTCCTGAAACCTATTTGGACTATTTTAATGAAACAAAATGAAATGATCTTATGTCACTGAAAAGTTGTGTTATTTTTTATATAGACATACACAGTAGTTTTTGAAACTGAAAGGCATGAATCAAATTTGCAGGGACTGTTTATATGGTCATACCCAGTACCACTTATAGCTACTGTGCTCCTCAGTCAGCCAGCACATATTAACCCTTCTTCAACCAGATCCCTCTCACAAGCCTTGCTTGGCTTTTTGTGTGGCTTTTGCAGGACATATCTAGTGTAAGGGTGTAAGACATATTTAGTTAACTCCAATGAAGATGTATGATAATAAGTCAGGGTATGCACAAGCGTCTCACCATTTAGTTGAAAACACTTTGAAATGCTGAACGTCAAAGTTCATAGATTGATAAAAAAAAAAATAACATTGCCCAAAAATATATTAGTTGTTACATGTCAAAGCACATACTTATCAAACTTCATGAAAAAAGGTCAGTGTTCACTAAAACCCTGCCTTAAGCAAAATGCCTTCAGTGGCCTTGAGCAGGATTTAGACAGAATGTGAATACAATTCATACAATTGAGGGGCATTTCACAAGAACTGTACATTGCAAAACTGTCCCATGGATCTTGGGAGGAAATGTATCAATACAAATACAGTGGAAACCGCCTAAGTAAAGACTGGATAAGTAAACACTATTCTTTGGTCCCGGCAAACTTCATTAATTATCACTTTTAGTCTGGTTAACTAAACTTGGACAAATTAACAATACCGCATAACTAAACGTCTTCTCACGCTCTGTGGAAGTAAATTACTTAACCGAAGAGACCGGATACCTAAATAAGCGATCACCACATAATCCTACATGAGGGGCACGTGTTATTTTGGGGGATGTGCAAAATAACATGAAATTTATTATTTAATACATCTGTTAGGTCTCGGACACATACTACATTTCTCTGTTTTGTCCCTTATTCATTTCCTTTGAAGAGAGGGGCGGTGGGGTAGCCTAGTGGTTAGAGCGTTCGCTCCTCACGCCTAAGGCCCGGGTTTGATTCCCCACATGGGTACAATTTGTGAAGCCCATTTCTGGTGTCCCTCGCCGTGATATTGCTGGAATATTGCTAAAAACGGCGTAAAACCATGGTCAGTCAGTCAGTCCTTTGAAGAGAGAATAATATTGGGCCCTAATTACTTCTGATATATCTATGCAACAGAGAAAAAGGTGTATGGCTTCAGTCCTCATATAGCAAAATAATATGATCGACAGTGCTTAGACATTAACATTTTTTGTGATTGTTTATTAATAGAAAAGTTCCAGCACACACCTGAGAGGAGTTACATGCATTGTATAACACACACACCTTCATTTTGATAATGTTTCACAGCTAACATGTGAGAAGGGTCTGAATCACCAGTGAACATAATGAAGTTTCTTTCATTAGCAAGAAACATATAATCTTGTATTCTACAATATATTTTGCATAAATTATGTAATTCGAATATTCATACATTTCATATGTGATATCTAATTTAAGTATTTAGCTACTGTAACCTCAACCATTCACAAATATCAGATTACACTGCAGTTAGTAGTATGACCAGGCAATCCGGTGATCGAAAATTGGGGTATGATGAGATACTATCATTATTCAATAGGGACCTTGTTTTGGTCAGAGATCGCTGGTTAACTGAAGATCTTGTCATGGAATCTTATTTTTTTTCTTCTTGGAAGCAGTTTCCATGGCTCTTTCACAGTTATGGATCTTACCCTGAAAACCGAAATAGGAGATTAACAAGAGGTTATCTGGCAGTGTCAGATGAACTTTCCACCATGTCAATTTCATTTGATGACAAAAACAATTCAGGAAACAAAGAAGAGTCCTAGACTAGGCTCTAATATTGCAGTATCTATTTAGCCATTAAACACAGTTTATGTTATGATAGTTTCAACTAACCTGAATCTATGTTGTGATATGTCTCTGAGCAATACAAATCTCAAAATACCATTAAAGAGAAATCAGATCCATCCAAAGTAACAAATACTAGTATTAGTCTTTTCCTTCCTAAATCAGTTCGTATAACAAATATTTTCTTGAGACTTCATTAATTCATGATAAAGTGAAACTGTCAATCTGTAACAGTTTGTAGACCTTCTGTTTGGATGACACCTGTCTATTAACTTAGACATATCGCATAAGGACCAAGTATATAACTGAGCTTGTTATCAAAGTGCTCTGTGCATTGCATCAATTTTTCAGCCTTTCCTGAAGGAAGCTATACAACAATGTTTTGGGCCAAATCACTTTATTTCAAGGATCCTAATATATTTTGTAACTTGCTAATGTCTATTATATGACCATGGCGGAGAAACAAATTTAGTTCGGTATTGGTGGAGTATCTCTTGAGTTTAACATATATATGAGTCGGACTTTCTGACATATCCGCTAAAGGAACGATATCAGCCACATCACACAGAATATCCTTCCGCTTTCCCCAGAAGCTCAGATGAGATATCTTCACCTTCTTATCATCATCACTCACAGCTAGTATCCCAACAACCTTTCGAATACTAAAACTCATGACATACAACATTGTGCATGCTAGACTTGCTAAGGCAGCACTGGCATACAACATGTGTGTTGACAAATCTCCACTGCTGTGAAGATTGAATGCCTGTGGTACTGCCACTAATGTAAACACTGTCTGGTATATCTTCAGCCGAGCTAGAACTTTCAGATGGACAATATAGTTGAACCTGTACACTGTAGTGAAGGAGGTAGCACTTGCATATCCTTCAACAGGTTTTGTTTCAGTTGACGTGGCTCTTGTTGACCTGTTTTCAGCACTGTGTGTAAATGGTATACAAGAATTGTGTGTCCAAGTCTTGTTGAGAAAACTGTTTCTTGTGATGGACATTTTCTGGACAATCCTGATGTAGGGTTTTGAACCTCTACATAAACATCTCACAGGACCAAGATACATGTCACTGGTGGTAAGCTGTTTAGCTGAAATGCAAAAGTTTGACTTTATCAATACAGGCATGCACAAAAATCTTTTTATTTATAACTGTTACCTAGATATACGTTTAATTTTTCCGTAATCTTTTTTATCCATAATCATCAAAAAGGACAACTCTGATGAAAATATTTATCAGATATTTACTTTTTGTTGAAAGTATTGTGTGTTTGTTGTTCAACATCACCCACAGCAATATTTCAGTTTCATGACATCAGCATTGAAATAACAGTGTAAGGACCAGATAATCCATGCACTGATTCGTAAAAAAAGCAAGGATCCTTTTTCTCTTGGTATGTTGACAACACAGTCAACCGACCCAAGTCAAAGCAAAACCAACTGATCCAGTAGGTTAAGTGGTGGTAGGACAAGCACTTTTGTCTAAGGAGTTGCAATTAGCAGTCCCTCCCATCCATTGGGCATCACAGAAGCCTATAATCCTGGGTTTAAATCCAGGTTTGTCCCACTTGTGTTTCGAGGTCTGATAGTGGGTTTCATCGGCATCACTTTGGTTTATTCCCTCACAGTAAGTTGACAATGCAGTTACTTTAATTTAATGAATGGCGGAGTAATTTTGTAAATACCTAAATATGGCAATAAGTGTTTGGCAGTCAGTATATGTCTGAAATGCTGTCCTCAGTGGTGTTAAACCCAACAGTATTTGAAGTGAAGTCAAAAGACAAGCGAATATTACTGGGGACTTAATCTAGGAATTGTAACCCTGAATTGCCATGTCGGTTAAAACTAAGACAGTACTTATTAAGTGTCCTCATGAAACCTAACATAAGGCTTTAAAAACTTGTATATATACTTTAATCAACCAAAGATGCAAAATGGACATTTTAAAGTTTAACTGTGCACTAGAAAACTGACTCCTTACAGGGGCGGATACAGCTTTTTGAGAAAGGAGGGGTGCACATTTCATTTTCACCCGAGTTTCAATTAATGGTCATTTAACAAACTTTCACACCAAAGGGGGGGGTGCGCACCCCTGCACACACCCCCTCTGGATCCGCCTATGCCTTATGTGATAGACTGCATACTCATCTTGATTGTTAAAAACACCAACAATACTGGCTCTTGACATTTACTGTACCACTTCAGTAAAAACCTTGGCATCTGTGATAGGCCGATCCTAAAAGCAGGCATTTCAACAGAAGACTGAATATCCTAGTTTATGGATGCAACACCTTGATTTGATCAGTGTTCACCGTGCTTTCTAAGTGGGATGTCTGAAAATGTCAACATAGGAAATCAAATACCGTGAAGGGGAGCTTGACAGTAAGAACTTGTATGTTCTGTCGTCAACCCTGCGACTCAAGGGGAAAACGCAGGGAAAGCTCTGCTCCAATACGTGCAACGGTTCATTCGAAGTCGTAACCGAGATATCAGTGCAGGGAGCTTTAAACACAATGACTGGTGTATTTCCTGGAATGCGCAAGCGTATAGGCTAACGTGTCGGATGGAAAAACGCAGTTTCGTGGTCTGTTACAAGTAATTTAGTACGTTGAACATTGTATATGGGCTAAGAAGAAGATCTTCCATCTCGAAAACGTCCAATATAACCACAAAATTGACATCCAAACGGGTAACGTGCCCATACAATATTGAACCTGGTCGTTGTTGGGCGATTGTTTTTGTGTTGCGCCGAGAACATTTGTTCTTGTTCGATATCGCGAAAGGCACAGAACGCATTTGCAGAACAGTGACATGAAAAGTCGACAAGTGTTATGTCACATATTTCATGACATAATAATGATTACACCGTGACTATCAAGTAGCATGTAAATGACTGACTTTTTCTAAAAAATTCCAATATTGAGGTCTGTTCCAGAACGTTTCGCCAAACCACGACCCATAAATTCTCTCGCTTTTTGTGGCGTGACACAGTTCTGAAAGTTGTGTTTGAGTAAATTGTGTACGTATGGAAGGTTAAAGGGCCTTAGTTAAGATTTTAATGCAATATAACTCACGGAGTTTCTTCACCAGAGAACACCGTATGTTCAGCGTATGTTCATATGTGAATATAATACAGAACGTGCAAAATTAACTACCGTTAACTCCTGTACGCAGGTAGTAACTTAGAATGCCTTGAAGTATTATACTTGTGTCTCGTACCTTTCGTTATATGACAAAACTATATGCGTGTGAAAACACATCATATTTCGCCATCGAACATTTGTTACAAAGGTAACATAGATTTCGTAAGAGAAATATATGTGTAATGTTGTTCAGGGTTTGTTTTGCCATTTACAAAAAAAACCCAACCCCAATTCAAAAACTGAAATATTTGTTTTCCCCGATCTGTTACAACTTTACTTCATAATTATTTTGTTGAAGATTACATTTGCATTCGCTTTCAAAGATTCATTCAAGTTACATTTGTGTACCTAGGAGACCCGTGAAGGTCCGGGTTAGAATATTGATCTTCAGTAACCCATACTTGTCGTAAGAGGCGACTAATGGGATCGGGTGGTCAGGCTCGCTGACTTGGTTGACACATGTCATCGGTTCCCAGTTGCGCAGATCGATGCTCATGCTGTTGATCACTGGACTGTCTGGTCCAGACTCGATTTTTTACAGACCGCCGCCTTATAGCTGGAATATTGCTGAGTGCGGCGTAAAATTAAACTCACTCATTCACCTAGGAAATACACGCTTACATTTCTATGCAAAATGTGTGGCTGATGTTACCGGAAGAGCAGGGCACACTTACACCCGGTGTTAATTTCAGCGATCATTTTACCAGTATTTAGCCGTTTACGCTCAATGGAATCTGTTTCTGTAGATAATTGAAATTAATTACTCTTTTGTGTGGACGCTTTATATTTTATTGTCTCGAGACACGACTGATTTTGAACATTAATAGAACTGCCAATGGTTATCGCTTGGAATATTTCATTCGAATAACTACATCGCCCTGCGTGAGACTTTGCCAGGGGAGCAACATTACATTGACACGATCTGTATCTGTATCCCTCGGACTACTGATCACCCTCCGAGTTTTCACCAGATATTCGGATTTTAACATATTTTAAATGCAGTGTGTATATCTACGTCAAGTAGGACCAGGGTTCAGCGTGACCTTGAACATGACGTAAAAGTCGTTAATCTTAAAGACGAATGGGATGTGTAATATACAGCTGAAGGCCAAAGTTCAAGAGGTACGACGACTACATATAATCAGGCAGTGAGTTCATTGTCCCCAGGAACGCCGTAACGTTTGACTGTGACAGGCGCACGTGCTAGGATGTCGCTCGACAAGGTGTGTCTGCAAGACGTTGAGGAGGCGAGATCCAGAATACGAAACAGTGTAAAAAAGACTCCTCTCGTTCCGTTGAACATTTACGAAACAGATTCAGAGACAAAGGTGAGTCAAATCATTATCCTTCACACGTACCTTGTGACTGTGGTAGTGATTTACGGACCAACCACGGGCAAGAGGTCATGTTTAGCATATATTTATTAAAACACTCTGGTAATTAATTATACGGTAATGTCGCAAAACGTACACTGGTGCACGTATTTGGGATCCGTGAAGGGTTGGAATTGATATTCAGCAGCCTGTGCTTGTGGTAGAGGCGACTAACGGGATCGGGTAGCCGGCTCGCTGACTTTGTTGACATATGTCACGTAGATCGGTGCTCATGATGTCAATCACTTGACTGGTCAAGACTCAATTATTTACAGCAGCCGTCATATTTCTGGAATGTTGCCGAGTGTTTCGTTACACAACAAACAAACGAACAAACAATGCAAGTCATTTGGGAACTTTAAACGAGTTGGACTTGGGAGCATAGTAATTATATGAAATAAACAAAATGTCATGAAACTTTGCAAGCACATCAGATATGATACATTCCTGTTGGAATTCCGTTGTTAAAGTGCGTTTCCAGCGAAATATGTGTAATTTGAGAGGCGTCTAAATGGGGTGGGTAGTCAGGCATGATGACTTGTTGAGGTGTGTGACATCGTACCTTGATAGAGTTGGGCGATGATAACATCGCAGTGTTTATTAAACATCGTATAATCCATTCGATACTTGTTAAAATGGTTTTGCTAAGGGTTTTTTTTTTATTGAATTAGTTGTGTGGATTGAAGGTAAGAGCTATGGTATTATTATTTACAGATCTATCTGAAGTTAGAGAATCTTCATCCGATAGGATCCTTCAAGCTACGTGGTGCCTGCAATGCTGTCGAACTGTTACCAAAGGCTAAGCTTGAGAGTGGAGTCTACACTGCCAGTGCTGGGAACTTCTCACAAGGACTGGCATGGAATGCGCAAAGGCTCGGAGTTCCATGTCAAATCGTTGTTCCTGAGCACGCCCCTAAAGCCAAACTGGACCCAACGGAAAGGCTTGGAGGCAAAGTGACACGGGTACCGTACGATAGATGGTGGAAGGTGATCATGGAACACAAGTACGACGATGCCTGTGGTACCTTTATACACCCTGTGTGTGACAGCGCAGTCATCGCTGGTGTGTAGAATGTTGATCACTAATATCAGCGAGACTATTTTGACGCAATCGTAAAGGTTTCTTCAAATCATTACCTAATCACAAACGTTATTCTCCAAATCGTTCTGTATTATTAAGAGAGATACACATGATCAAAAATAGTTACATGCTAATCGAGTGTAAACTTAGACAGACTAGTCAACTCTTGATGCGAATGCCACTATGAAACTATTTCCGAAATCTGATTTTGTGTAACAGGTCATGTTATGAATACTATTTCAGGTAATGGCACCATCGGGTTGGAGATTTTGGAAGACCTCCAAGAGGTTGATTCCATTATTGTCCCTTATGGCGGTGGTGGGTTGTCAAGTGGAATAGCCCTGGCTGTGAAAGCACTGCGTCCTGAGACTAAAGTATATGCTGTGGAGGTTGACACAGCAGCGCCACTGTCCGCTGCCCTTGCGGCAGGAAAACCAGTACCATGTTCATACAATGCTAGTTTTGTAGACGGAATGGGATCCAAATCTGTTCTGGATGAGATGTGGCCGTTGGTCAGTAATGTACTTGACGGTTCTATAGTTGTCTCCCTTGAAGACGTCGCAAATGCTGTGAGGCTATTGGCTGAGAGGAATCACGTGATTGCAGAAGGGGCCGGTGCTGCTGCAGTGGCGGCTGCGCTGAAGGGGAAGGTTGGGGAGGGGAATATTGTGTGCATCGTATCTGGGGGAAACATAGATACTGATGTTCTCATAAAGATTCTACAAGGGAAAACTCCATAATCGATAAGTTTGTATGGTGCTATATTTTATTTTATAATTCCAAGATCCAACAAAATACTGTCTGTATAATACATCATGGGCGGATCCAGGAATTTTGAAAGTGGGGATGGGGGGTGGTTGTCAGGGGGTTGGCTCCCCCAACGCCAAAAAAAATCTTCAATGTGGTCTTAAGTCATTTTCACGGTGGGGGGTGGTGGTGTTTTCGAACACCCCCTCTGGATCCGCCAATTATACATCCTACCTTTCATGCTGTTCAAAGTATGAAGATTTTAATGTTGAATAATTCAAAGATACTGTATGGTATTCATTAAAATACTTGTCAGATCACTTTGTGTTTATTATTTGTGTTATTGATATCCCACATTCTCACTAGATGCCATGTGTACCTTTCAATGATCATTCTGTCATACAACTGGTGGACAGAATTGTTCAACTTTACAACCTTGATCCACTCTGAAATAACTAACAGCAGTTATTAAAAGACAAGGGAGTAGTGATGGCAGAGTCACCTGGAGCTTTACAATTAGACTTGAATACCTTTGAAAAGATGGATCTTGACTGCCTACCCATAGTCAAAATCACATGCAGCATTAATCTAAACTCACACACCATGTCCGATTTTCAGCCAGGGCTCCAAATTTGTTTGTATCTGAATTAGTCTGATAAGGCTCTAAAGTAATACATGTATCTAAAAAACACAACAAAGTAATTTTTTACAATGTTTATTTATCAAGGGGATGGATAAAAATGAAACGATAAACTGATTTTCTATTTCCTTTCATTGGTACAACTTAAACACTGATAACAAAACCCAATACAGTATATAATTTAAGAACTTTTTTTCTTGTAAAATGTGTTCATTTCAAAGACTAGTTGCTAGTCTTGTAGGGCTACATGTTTACTGAGTATTTAATCCATACACCCATCTCAATTTAGAGGTATAGGTTTATAGGTACTTTGGGACAATAATGTGAGGACCAAAATCTAATAATTAATTTATATAATGGCCTAATCTATAGGGGCTTGAAGAACATATATCTGGTACACAATATTCAACCTAACAATTCCTTCGTCCTAACTGGTCTAGCGGTTATGCAACTACTAAGTGTCTCATGACTAGACTGGGTTTCTGCATCTATGGCAGTGGCAAGAACTGAACAAGCTGAAGCTGAGTATAAAGAATCCATTCTACTCTCATCTATAGGATCAAAACCATCATTATTCTGTCATACAGACCCTGAAACAAATATATCCCAAAAGCCCATGCAAGTCTAGAATATGTGGCAAGTCTAGATTTCCACAGTTTCTGAAAATGACGAAAGTCTCAGGGCTCCTTTTCATTTAATATATTTTATTTTTTACTGTTTTTTCTGTAAAATATGTTCATTTCAGAGACTAGATGTTAGTCTAAACCATCATCAGCTTCAACATTTCCTGATCCTGTATTACTTGAATTTTCATGACATTTCCAGGAACTAATATCGCTTGATATCTTGTCATAAGATATGGACTATCAGCATGTTTGTTTCACTTGTGATGGCAGTAAACATTGACCGTATTGTGATAATTACTGTGAGATGTGATTTTGCTTTGCAGTTTTATTTTCTATTTCTTATTTTGCATTATAATATTGTCAATAACCTATTAGCATTGGCATAAAAATATATTAAAAAACTTGGAAATATTTTTAAAGTACAAAGAATCAACTAATTAATGATTGCTCATGTCCAGCTTTCATGTCTATGATCTGACCTTGCAATAATTGTTTAAATCATTAAAATCAGATCTATTTGTCACTTGAACAAATTATGAAGCAGTTAATTTGCTGAAGTGTTAACATTTCTACTAACTACATCAATAGTCTAGTAGGTGGAGTACCTACACAATTAAAACTAAAATTTAATTAAGTCATATATGTTTCATACATTTGCACTAGATATGTTGAAATGCAGAATCTTGCAAATACCAGTAAAGAGATTTGGAGGCAACATGATTGTATTTGAAGAAAGACAGTCTGCATAAATAAGGGACATTTGTTGAACCTTGAGACGGAGGTATCCTCACATGAACAATTGAGACATCTCAGTTGCTTATAAAATTAACCTTAAAAATCAAACCAGAACATCTGATCATCAGTATACAACCAAATTGCCTATGAGGCGCTAGAAGGCAATCTGAACACAGCCATTTCTTCTACAGGGTACCCATAAACTGCTGGGTGTACAGAGACCTATTTCAAACGAGGCACTGCATATGTATGTTAGACCATAGCTCTAGAAACTCTCAGGAGTCAAGCTACCAAACTGTCAACATTTCAACCACTCTCCTTTAACTTCCCTTGCCCCGCCACCATCCCACTGTGTATATATAAAATCAAGCGTTGATTAAACTGGGTTTTACACCTCCATCATAACAGCTGAATCATATCTACCAAAAGCCTGGACAAGAAAAAACAGTTATAGTCTACACAATTACTTGTCTAGGTAACACAGCAGGTCATTCTCAACCAGCTGAAGGAACTATTCATATTCAGTTACCATTGTAACCATTTAATCCTCAGTTTGCATAATATTCACATTTACATATTAAAGTATGAAAACAAACACAATGTGTTAAATCCATTTTGAATGGGTGTACATTATGATGACTATAATTCAGTATAAAATATTCATGTCACAATAGGTCACAAATAAAATCATTACAAAATATTTCTATTTGCACTGAGTATTCATCTACTAAAAATCATGTAGAAAAGATTGTATAAAATATCACATATAACATGAGTTACAAGCAATTAGCACTGCTTACTATTCAAGCACCATTAAATCAATAAGTTAACATTGTTATACAACTATCAGAGACTTGGTCTCTGAAACTAGACTATATGGGACTAAACAAGTACAAAAGCTATCTCGTCCTAGCATTACAGTCACTGTAAGTTAAGCCTCTTTTGCCTTTCAAAAATTACTTGGTTTTGGATTTTTTCATATAGCATATGACTACTGGCAGGATCAACCAGATAAGCGTTGAAAACACTGACATTGCTGCCTCATTAACAGTGAGTTGGGTTTTATGACACCTTAAGCAATATTCAAGCAATATCACCAGAAATGGGCTTCTTACAATATGCCCATGTGGGGAATCGAACCCAGGTCTTCAGTGTGACGAGTGAACGCCTTAACCAATAGGCTACCCCAACGCCCCACCTGATATGAGCAAGTCCCCTGGTCAAGTGCAATCCCAAACATAACATACTGGGTATGTGACGACTGTCCTACTGCCTCCTGTGTTGTTTGACGAGACCAAGCACTAATATTCTAATTATCAGAGGCATTCCTCCTGAACTGACTGTCATAACTAACAATCTTGCCTCCATCGCCAGAGGCCAAATTCTACAATACTGGGGACTGGTGTTTCAAATGTGTGAGATCATGTAATCAGCACCTGTATAGTGGCATATCACTCCTCTCTGTGACATACCACTCCACTCTGTGGCATACCACTCCACTCTGTGGCATACCACTCATCTTTGTGGCATACCACTCCACTCTGTGGCATACCACTCCACTCTGTGGCATACCACTCCACTCTGTGACATACCACTCCACTCTGTGGCATATCACTCCACTCTGTGGCATACCACTCATCTCTGTGACATACCACTCCACTCTGTGGCATACCACTCCTCTCTGTGACATACCACTCCACTCTGTGGCATATGATCCACTCTGTGGCATTGTGCACTCCACTCTGTGGCATAAACCACTCCACTCTGTGGCATACCACTCATCTTTGTAAAATGGTGAGATCAGAATTTTGTGTTGTGATATGAAATATCTCTCTACTTTACAACACAGTGATCAAGGTGAAGATCAACGTGTTCTTCAAGATCAGGAGGGAATTTGGACATGGAGACCATAGTTTGGTTTGAGAAATACTCCAGCATGGCCACTCCTGAGTCTCATCTAGATCCATGCTGTACACTCTCATGCTCCAGCATGGCTAACTCCCTGGATACTACACAGTCTGTGCTGGTCTTGGATCTACAACAGCAGGCTGTACGACAATGTCAGTCTTTTTGTCATGTACCCTCCTCCACAGAACTTCCGCAACCCAAACTGGAACACACCAAGATGCTCACATTGAAAAACAACCACAGACCTAACAAGAGAAACATTAACTTCATCAAGTGCATTCTGTTCATCACTTTCCTGATGTTCAAGAATGTTCCATTTACTGTTACTGGGACTGTGCTTTTTAGCAATATTCTAGCAATATCACTGTGGGGCATATGGGCTTCCACATGTCTAACTGCTTTTGCTACCCGCCCTAAAATGTGCTGTTTACTCCATTCAAATCAGTAACATATCAAACAATGCTATCAACCAAGCCCACATACACTTGTAATACCACAAAAAGATGTGGCCTATTCAACTGTGTGCTAAGTACACTGTATGCATTCCACAATGTCTGGCTCATGTAGTCTTCGTTGTGTCTTCAATGTCAACCACTTACTCCTGGCAAGCAAGTATGCTGAATCCTGTGTACCAATGATATGCTCCTCTTCATGACCTGGACATGAGACTCATTGGTACTGGCACCTATTTCTAATGTTGGACAACATTCAGCTTTGTATTAACATCAAGGACAAATCTGTATGGTTCTAGAGAATACTTGAATGACCATGTTGTACATGCTGGTCTAACGTGTCCAGTGGTGTGATACATGAGCGATGTTCTTGATCCCATGATTGAGACAGTGAGGAAGAGAAGGCAAACTGAATGTGGCCATTTTATAAATCGAACATCAACATATCTCCTCTGATCAGTACCATCTTGTGTAGGACTATTTCCTTATCATCCATGTCTATTTACATCTATCGTACACGTCAATGTTCCAACCATCCGTAATCATCAACATGGACAATGGCCGTCGAAGCCATCCATGTTCCATCAGCCATGCATTAATCAAATCTATCATCAAAGTTCCATCCATGCGGTAATCTATGAGTCAACCATCCATGCTCCATCAAGCAATATCACATGTTCCATCATGTCCATCCATGCATGTATCATCTATCATCCATGTTCCATCAACCATCCATGTTCCATCCATACATCCATCAGGTCCATCATTTGTCCATGTTCCATCAACCATCCATGTTCCATCAACCATCCATGTTCCATCAACCATCCATCCATGTCATCCATCAAACCATCAACCATCCATGTTCCATCAACCATCCATGTTCCATCAACCATCCATGTCCATCAACCCTATCCATGTTCCATCAACCATACATGTTCCATCAATCATCCATGTATCCATCAACCATCCATGTTCCATCAACCATCCATGTACTCCATCAACCATCCATGTTCCATCAACCATCCATGTTCCATCAACCATCCATGTCAGGTTTCCCATCCATCAATCCATCCGTGTCATCCGTGTCATCATCATCCATGCTCCATCTATGGAACCATCCATGTTCCATCAACCATCCATGTCCATCAACCATCCATGTTCCATCTATCATCCATGCTCCATCAACCATCCATGTTCCATCAACCATATGCTCCATGTTCCATCAGCCATCCATGTTCCATCAACCATCCATGTTCCATCCATCAACCATCCATGTTCCATCAACCATCCATGTTCCATCAACCATCAATGTTCCATCAACCATCCATGTATCATCAACCATCCATGTTCCATCAATAACCATCCATGTTCCATCAACCATCCATCATGTTCCATCAACCATCCATGCTCCATCAACCATCCATGCTCCATCAACCATCCATGTTCCATCAACCATCCATGTTCCATCAACCATCCATGTTCCATCAACCATCCATGTTCCATCAACCATGCTCCATCTATTCATCCATCATCCATGTTCCATCAACCATCCATGTTCCATCAATCCATACATGTTCCATCAACCATCCATGTTCCATCAACCATCCATGCATTCCATCAACCATCAACCATGTTCCATCATCAACCATCCATGTTCCATCAACCCATCCATGTTCCATCAACCATCCATGTTCCATCAACCATCCATCCATCCAATCAATCAACCATCATGTTCCATCAACCATCAACCATACATGTTCCATCAACCATCCATGCTCCATCAACCATCTATGTACCATCAACCATACATGCTCCATCAACCATCCATGTTCCATTCCATCAATCAACCATCCATGTTCCATCAACCATCCATGCTCCATCAACCATCCATGCTCCATCAACCATCCATGCTTCATCAACCATCCATCATCAACCATCCATGTTCCATCAACCATCCATGTTCCATCAACCATCCATGTTCCATCCATCACATACCATCCATCCATGTTCCATCAACCATCCATGTTCCATCAACCATCCATGCATCCATCCATGTTCCATCAATCCATGTTCCATCAACCATCCATCAACTATACCATCAATCATCCATGCTCCATCAATCATCCATGTTCCATCAACTATCCACATACCATCAATCATCCATGCTCCATCTATCATCCATGTTCCATCAACTATCCACATACCATCAACCATCCATGCTCCATCTACACTGCCATTCTGGCACACAAAGCCCACCTTCACAAATCAATCTTGGCACTAAGTCTAAGTTGAAATGCATTTATGGCTGTTTGGTTCTTGGCAGTGTGACAGGGCACACTTGATGTTATTTGATTTTTCAAATATGTTCACTTTCTGTAAGGGGTTTTAAGCCAATGTGACAGTTGATTGCTCTAATCTTAAAGCAATAATGTTCAGGGGTGTAATACTTGCCGCAGGAGAGACCACATTCTATCACTGGAACAAATATCGCTGCTTGAATTACATTTTTAAACAATTTCTATTGACTTCACCATGAGTAGATATTGGTGTTAATATTAAGGTCCCCAACAAGCATATCATATGGCCGAAATATGATGTCATTATCATAAACATATGTTGGCCAAAGACAAAGTAATAACTATCACTGTTCCCTAATAGATTATTCTAAATTAGAGTGGTAATGATGACAGTGATTGGTGATTTCTCTTCACTGTTTATATCCATTCAGCTTATACTAGTTGTGTCACTACAAACTGGAATGAAATGCATTAAAATATTCTAGAATAAAGAACACTTGACATGAAAATAGTATTTTGGGAAAAAGAGAAAAGAGAAAAAATACAATTTATGAATTAAAAAAGAGTGAATCTGCCGTTACCGGATCATTTCACAATGAAGGGATACAACTTTGTGCATCTAACAAATTCAACAGAGTATATCGATATGATCCGAGTTGTACACTGAGAACACGTCACCAAACAGTCATGTAATGAGGTAATTGTGACTGTGCACAGATCATGTCTTACCTGTCTGGGACCTTGGCAAGAGTGGTGTCCACCATTTCTCGCAGTCGGGTGATGTCCGCCTGATACTGTACCATCATGCACTCACTGTCATAGCTGCCGATACCTGAACACACAGACACCTTGTTAGAAACACACTCACACCGTTACACGTATAGACACATTGTTACACACACAGACTGTACACACACCGACAGATTGCACACAATTGCCTCTTACGACAAGCATGGGTTACTGAAGACCAATTCTAACCCGGATCGTCAAAGGTTGGCACACTATAGTATGACATAGTGCGTACTATTAGTTACACAGTCTATTATCATTACTATTATATCGCAACAATGTGTTAATGAATATTACATACACGGCATAACACTGGCACATAATATTGTATGCAGTCAATCTTTGTTCATGCTTTGTTATCTCATTTGCCCTATCATCTCTATAATAGATTACAGGTCACTTAGTCTTCCACTAAAGTAACAATCTGACATTTCATCTAAATTACAGAGACTTTATGACTGTGTCTAGAAATACAAATAGGTACTGGTGGGTACCCACCCCAACATGTATCAATTCATTTAGCTCCATCACGACCCGAACAATACAAAAATGTGAGCAGAGCTAATTGAGCAAAGTCCCATAAATCACATTGTTTCAACTTGATGTTATTCCAATAATAGTTACCAAACAAATCCCCAAATATAGCCAAATAACAAAACATCAACAATGTCTGTAAGTTTCCTTACTTTACCTTCCTTCCATCCCTTTCATGTCTTAGGGGCGGTGGGGTAGTCTAGTGGTTAAAGTGTTCGCTCATCACACCTAGCCTACTAGGTTCATGTTCATTTCTGGTGTCCCCACATACTGCTGGAATATTGCTAAATGTGGCGTAAAACCAAAACTCACACTCACTATCATGCCATAATTTTTACAAGTGTTACAGGACAGTGAAAGCGAGATAAAGGACAGTGTACCTAGCAGGAGATTTTCCAGTTCTTGAATTTCCTTTCTGACAACATCAGTTGTTCTCTTGCCTTCATACCTCCTGTAGAAAACAATGGTAACAAGCCATCACACACACGTCATGTATATATGATGAAAAATAACAACTAGTAATGGTATTACATACTTATTTCTTGGATTGTGAACCAGCCAGCCCACCTTCAAATAAAACTATAACTGACATCAGCAGAAAAACTACTAAGGGACCGTTCATAATTTATGGCTAGGGGTGATGATTTTAGAGGGGTGGGGGTTTCACCCATTTTGTTCTGAGAGGTAGGGGGTTCACCAATTTTGTACACATGTACTAGGGGTCACCAATTTTGTACACAAAAATAAAAAAAAAATATTATTATAATTTACGGGGAGGGGGGGTGTCATTGATTTTGTACATGACATGCAAGGGGGTCACATATTTTGTACATAAGTTTTAGGGGGGTCATTCACATTGTACATGCCTTTCCATGAAAATCATCATCACCCCCCTTGCCATAAATTATGAACGGTCCCTAAACCCAATTTTTGTGTCAACACAACTCATTTACATTACTAATATTATCATGACATTACAGTTTGCCAAATCTACCAACAGTTCTGTCCCTTGTTTCTTTGTGACCTTTGTCTGACAGATCATAAGTACATAAGGGTAAATTGTATCATTGCTTTTGCTTTCTCCAGCTTCTGAATTTGACAAAAGAAATGTGCAGTCTGACAAAATACACAAAAAATAAGCAAAAGTGCTGCCTCTCAGCATTCTCTCCATAAACTGTTTGCATCAGCAGCCTATTATTTTAGTGTGAAAATGTTCAAACCTTTGGGTGTAAGAATTATTCAATGTTGTATAAAGACAGAGCAAGCTTGAGTCACTAGGATGTTCTATAAACATGGCTTCATGCCAATGTAAACCTACTTTGTCTGCTTACACAATGTTATCAAGGTAGTTCCCTGCATACCCTTGCTTTACGTAACAACACAGACACTATCACTCAATGCCATACACTGCCCAAATAACAAGTTGTAGACCAACACTGGGAATTGACTGAGACTCTCTTTAAAAAGGAAAAGCAAATCTTACACATGTAGAACAGTGCCATCTTCACCACAGATCTTGTTGAGCAGACGAGATCTGTGGTTACACTCCCACTCTGAGGACAGCTTCCTGTTGTACTGTAACAAAACACTGACCTCGTGAGACAAATCTAGCTTCAACTTTGGTCATGAACATAACATCACAATAGCTACACTGTGTCTATGAAACTCAAAATTCTCATCCAAGTTGCTTGTCTGAACCTACCCACACTAATTGACAGCACTGAACAGCCTAAGTCTTTAAAGCTAGCGCATAATGTTCAACAAACAAGTGAAGAAAAAAAAATTCAAATAAGAATTAAATTTGAGATAGTTCATGTTTTTGTGTGATTTGCTGTATTGGCATCGATGACTTATTTGAGATTTGAGATAGTTCGGAAACTTCAGCATATAAATCGGGTACATGACAAGTCATTGATAAGGATGATATACTCACAAAAGGATGGCTGTATTTCTTATGGGGCTGAAATAAATAAAGACAAAAACTGGATTGTTTAATCTGGTTACACCAAGCCCACCCTAAATATTGCAATTAAAGTAACAGTAATCGTACTAAAATGCTTTTTCACTGAAATTATATTCTGATAAGACACCATTGCTTCTGAAAACGTCATTTATTAAAGATACCTCAAAACCAAAGTATTTTTGGTTTTGTTTCTCATTCCACCTTCTTTGCAATATTTGCATGAAAACACAATAAATTATTGAACTTACGTGATTTAGAAAAACGACGAAAAGAGGGACAGAATGTTTTGATACATTTTGATCCAGTTATGTCACTGAAACTGATTGTTTCTGATCAACATTTTCCGCGATAAGTTTTTACAGGCAAGATGGTGAATTATGAAATGAATCTGGTGTAAAACATTCTTTATCTATGTTCAGCTAGCAAAGATAATATTGGTAATATAGCAGCAGCAGACTACGTCAGTGGCAAACTGTGTTGACACTGTCTTTTTAAAACTATTTTATAGTGAATACATCACATGGTGAAAATATGAATATTGATAGTTTCATAAATAATAACTAAAAATGGTTATTCATGCTATTAATCTCAGATAATGAATACTGGTTTGCACATTGAACTGGCTAGGAATTCCAGTCAAACTGTATCTTGTTATTTAAGCAAATGTGATAACCTTTCTAAAACAAAGACCTCCTCCCTCCCATCAGTTGAAAATCTCACAATCCCTTGCAGTACTTAGAGTACCAGTGAGGAATTAAGTAATATGAAGGAACTCACAGCTTTTTCTGGTGGAAGTTGACCATGGCAAGCCAGCACATCCTCGGCACCTTGGGGTGGTGGTACTTCTGGGAGGTCGTCATAACAACCAGCAAGAAATACTAGACAATTTGCTGGGTCAACACCAATCACATCCTTTGATATATCTGTATTCAGCCAAGGTCTCAGTGGCTCTAAACAGGCAGGCATCGACCTGGTACAGGAATTTACATTTTTCACGTTCTACCAAAAGAACTGCAAAGACATAGTCAAAGCTCTATTCATAAATTGACTGGTTCAATTTTCACTGAAATTCTAATCCCTTATAAACTTGGAAATTTATATCTTTATACCTCCAAAATAAGAAAGAAGAAAAATAATTGGTTCTCAAAATCCTTTTTCCAACTGTTTCACATTTGAGAAAAAACAACCCAAACTCCTACATGTATGACCCCTAAACCTGAGTCCCAAAACAATTTGCAACATCTTACTTTTCCCAAGAAACATTCTTACCTTAATCCTCTGCACCTTTATTCCCAGTGAATGATTAAATACTTCCAGTTTACAATAATAATCTGAACAATTTCTTCCAAACAATAATTCATTTAAATCTCGAAACATACCTGATACTTTCACTGGGATCCTTGTTTGCCTTGCCACTGTCACTGGACAGCACATAAGGAAACCCTTTGCTTGTCAAGTCTTCAGTACTGGAGAAAATACCAGGCTCACTTCCAAACACCTGTCTCTTCAGCTTTAACCCAAATACTGAGGGCTTGACTCCATCATTGTCAGTTGTCTCTCCTGATATGGGTTGGGCAAGGGCTGATTTAGCCGATGATGGCCTACTTGTACCTGTTGAAGATCTCCCAGATCTGTCACTTTTGGGGGGACTCACAACTGAAGCGCTTTGTGGCCGTTTTGGTTTAGGTTTTTTTGGAATATGTACATTCAGATTCATGTCAACTACCGATACTTGACTTCCAGTCTTTTCTAAACATTGTGAATCTGTCTCATCACAGTCTTGACGCTTCTCTAGTCGGCCCTTGGCACTCTGTATTCTACGTGGCCTGTTGGGTTTGTGGGAAGTTTGTGGTTCATAAACCAATCTACTGGACAGTTCTTCTGATAATATGTCTTCATCTCTCACAAATGATTCTGTGAAAGCATCCCTTCTTGGTTGCTGACACAGATTTCTGAGTCGATTGGCTGTTGAACAGAATAGCTTCCCTCGGTAATGAAATGCCTTTTGATATTCATTGTTATACTTTGGGCCTGATGGTGGCAAATGATCAACTGGAAAAAACAATTGTGTTTTGAGATAACGATATACTAATAAAAATGTTGAGGATACTAAAATCTTACCAGTGACTACGTATTCATATTAATCTAGCTCCTGTAAACTGAACCTGAATCAAGCAGTTGAAGTGGCCATGTTTACAAGCAAACAAAGCATATCTTTGTCTTAGGAGCTTTTTTGAGGCTTAAGAAACATTCATATTCTTCTCACAAATCACAAGGACCACTGTACATCATCTCATCCATTTATAAACTCAACTTTAGCTTTAAAAACTTCCAACAACCAAGTATTTTCAATGTCTGTGTGACACCAAATCATGATAGATATGTTTCTCTCTGAAAACACATGATGTCCGAAAACAGAATCAAGACTTGGTCACAACAGAAATACCAAGCATTGTGTACATCGAAATGAAAACAATTATATGGAGACACAATATTCCTGTATCAGAACATGTAAAATACATATGCCCTAATAACATATACATATGCATGCAAGTTCTGATTGGGTTATATGAAAATGCCTTGGCTGAAGCTTAGGTTTAACAAATGTGAAGCAATGGGTAATTAAAATCATTGATTTTGTAAAATAAGTTTTGCATGCTTCATTTGTTCATGAATATGTGTGAAGAAATATAACAGAATTATACAAATAATGTTTGTATATCATAATGATTTGTGATCATTGGTATGCATGTGCTAGAATGTCAGCTGAAAACAAGACATGCACTCACAGGCATGTCTAACAGTATATGTGGCTGAATGGATTTTGAACATAAAAATACAAATGTATTATCTATCTTGTGTCAGTTAAATGACTGACTATCGTTTCTATCACTGTATGCCAATAATTAAATGTTTTATTTGCATCAATATAATATTCCTGTCTTATATTACTTATGTTTCCATTCACATCTTTTCCATATTCATTTCAAAATGATAGTTGTAAATGTTGCCATTAAGACTGCAAACACTGTTTAATGAATCTATTTTACACTTGTACTTGAAACGGGCATAAAAAAGTACTCAGATGTAAGCTCACTTTTCCGTATTGTTTCTATGTGTACGTAACAAAATCAATTTATCAGAGAATACGTTTGGACACCCTGTATGTCATGATGGTGTACAAAATGCCCTTTTTTCTGAAATCTCAAATTTCACCGTTAGATAAATGCATATCTAAGCTTGGTCTGACAGCTTTATTTTGGGATGCCACTGTCACACCTTTGAGGCCCAGTGTTAAAAAGAAAAAGAAAACAATATTCTTGACTTTAGGCCTATCGGCCACTTCACAACACAATACATGTTTACAAATGTATTATTTCCACGTGAGTTTAAAATTATCAGACAACTCATATTGCAAGGCCTTTTTGAAGCATGTATTCGACAAAAGTAGCTGTCATAAAGAAGAATTGTCACTGTTCTCCACCTTTAGCTTCCGGCACATCGTGTCCAAGATCTATTTTGGTCGCCATGTTGTTTACACATGTTGCTGCCTGTCAACAGACTTTAGATTTTTGCTAAATTGTTGTAAATTTTAAGTTACCAGTTATTACAACAGGGTGTTTTGTAAAACAATTGATATCTTATTTGAAATACTTATTTTTACTGGTAAAGTGTAAATCTCGTGGTGAACTAAAGACACGAGAGCACCTGTCATGGCTGCTTTGTGATTGCTGCAGTATCATACTTAGAACGCTTCACAGCTGGCAAAATACACGCATCGTCATGTCGAAATCAATTGTAAGTACAGACGAAATTGGTCAGTGTGTTACAACCGATCTGTGAGTTGATTGTTCGTAACAGAAACAGTGTCGATATTGAATACACAAAACTTGACTAAATGTTTGGATATGACTAGTCATTTTCAGGTTTCCTTTTCAAGCCGTCAGTTGCTAATTTTACACATATTGATGAAAACGTGATTTGACATTCAAACATCATTTTGATGACACGAAAATCTCTTGATGTTCCAAGTTTTCATTACTCTCAAACCTTCAAGCAAATATTTTTACTGACAAAGTTACGAGTCCACTTGTCACGGTCAGCTGTCGACTCGAGTATCACGAATATACGATACATTTACTCCGCACTAGCTGGTTGGTTGATTCGTTTCATTGAAAACACATTAGAATGTAACACCACACTTGGAGTACCCCAAACGTAAATTCATTTCATCCATAGTTATCAGTTCCAAGTATTTGAAAAATAAACAGATTAAAAAAAGTTGATACATTCACCAGTTATTGCTATTTTTTCCCTGCTTCTCAGTGGATGAGAAGTAAGAATGCCTGTTAAATGTTACAGATTAATATTTACTCCCACACTGAAATACAGTCATGCCCCGTTTATCCGAACCTCAGATATCCGGAAAACTCGCCTTCTGAATGAAAATTCCTTAGAACGAATTCACAACGTTGTAAAATTACTCCCTTATCCGGAAATCCAGTTTCCATAACTGGATGGTCATTTTCACATACAAAACGCTAAATTATATGCATTTTTTCTCTCGTATTTCTGGATGGCTGAGCACCTGTCAGTATGTTTACCATGTTTACATACACATTTTACCGAGTGGCCCTGTGTGCCCTAACATAAAAGAAGTCGGCAGTCTTTGAAGCGTGAGAGGATTAACTACCTGTAATCAGCAAGGTGACACTGTATGCATTGTTATTTGTTGATGACTTATCAATAAAGATTACGTCTGAAGCCTATTATGTTTGTTTCTTTGTATGTCTTTTACATAATGTCCTTGGTTCATATATCCGGAAATTTGTTTATCCGGACAATTTCAAGAAAAACATAAGTGTCTGGATAAACAAGGCACGACTGTACACTGTGACATGGTTAAACGATCAATTCAATACCCGTCATAGTCACAATAATTTTTTTTACAGGACCAAGTGTGGTCACTTTTTCATGAGTCTGTTTTGGTAAACCTATATAAAAAACTTAGCATAATGTTCATGGATTGTTGAGGCGGTTGGGTAGCCTAGTGGTTAAAGCGTTGGCTCGTCACGCCGAAGTCCCGGGTTCGAATCCCCACATGGGTACAATGTGTGATGCCAATTTCTGGTGTTCCCTGCCGTGATGTTGCTGGAATATTGCTAAAAGCGGCGTAAAACCAAACTCAGCCAGTCAGTCATGGATTGTTAATCCATGTCATTTTGAGGAGGAATTGTTACTTTAAGTGACAACATCTCATTCTTTATGTATGTCAAGTATTTCTTCTGTTTATCTGTTTTCAGATTGTGCGTGTGCAATCTGCCGTCCATGGCACCAAACGAGTAGATACAAAGGCATCAGAATCGGTTGCAGTCCTGCTTGACAAGGTATTGATGTTGTTTGAAATGTTGTATAAAGCCTTCATGATTTGATTTGTTGTTTAATGCTGCATTCAGCAATATTCCAGCTGTGTGGTGTCGGTCTGTAAATAATCGAGTCTGGACCAGACAATCCAGTGATTAACAGCATGAGCATCAAACTACGCAATTGGGATACAATGACGTTTCAGCCAAGTCAGCGAGCCAGACCACCCGATATTGTTAGTTGCTTCATACGACCAGCATGGGTTGCTGAAGACCAATTCTAACCCAGTCTAAGTAAACTTAGGCTCAGTATTATTCGTTACACTGCTATACTGAGTCTAACAAAACCGTATGAAGTTGCTTCATAAACAACAACTTCGAGAAAAGAAGAAGTCAGACAAACAATTGGAAATCTACGTTCTGATAAGATAATATATTGATGAGAATTTATAGAAATATATGGAAAGCAAACATCAACTGGAAGGATCAAAGGACATCCCATTTTATCAATTTATTTAGTCTCTGATACAATTGTAGGAAGGTTGAGAGCTTGTATTCATTATCAGACATGTTTTTCATCATGGACATACAACTAGCTTGGATTCATTAGGAGAGGGACTTTAACCCATTCAACACTGTAGGCCGGTTAAGACGTCACCAGTCCCCTGACACCGTAGGCCGGAAAACCGGCCAGGCAGTAGTCACATCAAAATGATATATAATTTTAGGAACCTAACTAACATATGATTCATTATCAAATCTATCACTTTTCATAATGCCTGAAAACACTTATTACATTTCAAATGGCCATATATAATCGACAGAATTAGAATTATAAACTATTTTTCGCAATGTTATTGAAAAAAAACGATTCTTGGACACATGCTTCGGCAACGGGTCCACATCAGAGTTGTCAAAGAGCAAAGTAACGATGTTTAGAGATAATAATTACACAAATTGAATAAACGGAAGAATAACATCAACAACAATACTCATACAAGTTGTCAAATGTACGTTACAACTTACTATTTCCATCTTTATTGTGCGAGCGTGTAATGTAATTCAAGTGACATCTCGGCTTTTGTCGCTTCGAACTTTACGCTCGAACACAATGTTTAATGCTAAAATATATGCATTAAACTTTCTTGTCACAGGTCATAACCTAGCACGATACGTCCACTAAGTTCCATAATATACGCATAGGTGGTGATTCTTTGCGTAACACGTTCACAATGGCATGATTTTACCCAAAACTTTCGTCTGAACCTGCAGGTTTTCGTTTACGATGACAGTATCCATTGCTGTTTTTTGATTGGCTGTCTTAGGTCACGTGTCTGATTTTGACCAATCACGATCCTTATAGCAGACTGAGGCAAATGAGCGTCATTAGAAACCTATCTTTATCCAATAAAATCGCTTCTTACAACTGTGAAAATACTCTTGGCAAGGGTACAGTGATATTGTTGATGTTCAGAGCTTTCGAACGATACCCGCCATCAAACGAATCGCCTCACATGTTATTCATACGAAGCTTCAAAGCGGAGGTATTTCACGCTGTTGTATCAACGTTATCGGCGAGGAAAGCCACATATATCGGGAAATAGACGACCATAAATATTAATTCAGAAATCTTTTTATAATAATTTTCCAATTACGTAAAAATGAAAATATAAAAGAAAAAGGTAAGGGGATATTATGACATGTTACAAATGGAAAAAAATTGCCACATTTTTTGCTTCCTTCGTGGTTTATCTGGACATATAAATGTGTAAGCTTGCATTTTCATTAAAAATTAACTTATTTACGTTGTAGTCGTATTACTTGAATAATATGATAAAAAATAACTTTCATATTTATATACAGTAGGATTAGACGTTTCAAATGGTGTATGATATGTAGTAGTAATAATGATATTCGAGCTGATATTTTCATTGATAAACATAGGCTTCATCTATGACCTCAGAGTGTCTGGGAACTCGGTGTCATGGCAGTAAATGCCTCTGGTTGACTGGTGTTGAAAGAGTTAAAGAACAAATAAACTTTGTTTTTTTGTACTCTTTTAACTATTACATATGAAAGATTTGTGGTTAGTCTTATGCGGAACACCAAATTCATTCTTAAAAAACTTGTGGTTAATTAATACCGAGTGATTAAAAGTTGCCAAAAAGTCACCTGCTTCGCTCTCGCCCGCCAAAGAAACCACAGACAGGTTATGTAACTCTGTCGCCAGAGCACTGCAGTGACATCATATGAGGAAAGTTTTCAGTTAGTTGTATATGAAGTGTGTAGCAAGCTTGTAATGACTTCCTCACCAGATCCATGGCACGTCTATAGATTTAAGACAAATATTGATTAAGTACAGCGCAAGCTGGAAGAAATTGGTTTGATGCACGAAGGGCATTGGGGGTGAAGATCAGCCACAGATAACCTGTGCCTGCAACACTGCAAGATTTCATGAAATGTAAACAAGTTACATTACGATGAAATTATGACACAAATATACAAATAATTTTAATTTTTTTTTACATATAATAAAGAGTAATTATAGCCAAATCCATAAAAAGCATAATTTTTAAGAATAGGATCTAAAATAAAAGGATATAATGCCGTATACGGGACTCCAGTGCTTGCCCAACCATCCGCTGGGGCGAAAAAGAAGAGAGTGACAAGTAATGCTGGTCACATGACTGTTTGTGCGGGAAAGGGCAAAAGGGAGGTAACTCGTGGGTGAGTGTATTTTTACGTCCGCGTCGGGAACTTCAAGGGATTCAAGTGTTCCACTACCATTCGCAAGGGAAAGGGAGATAAGCAAAAGATCATGAGTCAGGATAAGTATAAAAATATCATTTTACTTGAAAAATTACATGTTTGTGAGTGCGAAGCGAGCCTTGTGGAAGCCTGAAGCGATATCTTACTTGTGTTCAGATCGCTTCACGGAAGGTAAAGAATCAAAACTACTTACTAGTTGTAGTAAAATATGTATATGATTGATGACCATAAAGATTTTCCATGACACAACTTGTAACATAACGATTTCTTCTTCGGAAGTGAGGTTCTGGTCAAAGTAACAATAATACTGTAAGTAGTATTATATTGACACCCAGTAGTATATATATTGTCCTCAGACTGGCCACCGTGAAAGTCACGGGCTAAAGTCTGTTAGAATTAATATTATGGTTTGTTTTCATCAAGTTAGAAAATCAAAACTACTTTACAGTTATGTATTTGAATCATGACCAAAAGGATTTTGCATGACACAACTTATAACATAACGATTTCTTCCACCGAAGTGAGGTGGGGGTCGATGTGACAATACTGCGCGATAAATTTCTTGCTACATTCATGTGGTTAATATCCACTCACCAGTATGTAGATACTAGTCAATGTACTTCTTTATATTTGGTCTTATAATCCTAATTAGTTAATAATCATACTTGTATGCATTTTGAAACTAAATAAAAAGCAGACGTTCTGCTGATACTTATAGTGAATTTATAACAGGACTTTAATATCTAGACATTTTATAGTTTGCCAATGTGAATCATAATTCGCACACACACCCTAGTGTATGTTGTCTGTCTTATTACACTTCACGGCGAAAACAATGATTCTGTTGAATGCTATGACAAATGAATAAAAACAAAATGCAAATATTAAAATTTAAACAGATTAAAGTTACAGGAACAATGTCAGGCTATTACCTTGTTCGAGGAATGTATCCATCAATATCCACAAAAACGAGTGATATGCCATTCATCTGCAGCTGTTCCAAGTGATGTGTCTTTTAACAGTCTAATATACGAAAAAGTGATATATCGTTTCAGGTATTTCACATTGGTGTATAGTCTCATTGGTCACCCAAGATAACACACCCGGCAACTACATGTAATTGCATAATGTCCGCTATTCTTTAAAAAAGTAATTTAGTTAGCCAATAATGAGCAATCAATCAATGTATTGGCGGTTAATCCTTTGAAATAAGGACGTTGTTTTTACACAGACACAGACACGACAGAGTGTATTCAGTATCGATTAGTAAATCTACATACATAAACACTACCTTTTGACAAATCTGCTGTGTAAGATAAAAGTAATTTATCAATCAGCGTGTTATCGGTTAGTCCTTTGATCGATGTTTATAATGTTGAGTATTTACTCCAGACACAAGAAATGCCAAATGGGAACCTTTGTCGGGTAATCTAAGTGGTGTTACCACTAATTATACCTGTTATAAATTCATTAACTGACCATCAAGTGAATGATGACAAATAACATGTGTAGGTTTATACCACCTAACACGGGTTACAATAAGGGAGTATTAATTACTGTATTGCATGCAATTTTAAATGCATGTGAAAACTTATGGGCTGACACTGTTTTGAGAATACAAACAGAACTTCAATGGTTTTTTTGTGTGGTTTTTTTGGTTGTTTTTATTACTAATAACGGTACATTATATTCTACATTTCATCAAGGTAATACAGATGACATAACACATGTTACAGTTGATGAATTATTGAAGCTGTTATTAATAACAAAAAACAAAAAATAAAGAGGATGGGGAAAGTGAGAGGTAAGGGTGCAGAAAAGAGAAACTCACCATGCTAATCTAAAATTTAGTCGTCTTGAAAGAGACATAACCATTTTGCTTTGAAGACAGAGTGGTGTTCCCAAAAATATATTTTCCCAAATGGTAGTGTTTTTTTATGAGGTAGAAGAGTTGATCAAAATTTAAATCTGCGGAGGTATATCTTACTTTATTAATATATTCCTTGGTGATAATGAAAATATGATTAACTAATACACCTGCTTCAGGGTCCCCCAGTAGAAACTTAGTAATATCGATATTGAGGCAAGCGCCGGTCTTGGAATTATACCAGCTTGTAAACTGAGAGATTAGATGTTTAGTATTCTCACATAAAAAGAATATGTGCTGAATAGTTTCTATTTAACGGCCACACAAAGAACAAAGATTATCGTGATTAATACCTATTTTACATAGAAATAACTTTGTAGAAACTATTCTGTGCATCAGTTTAAACTGGAAGTTCCTAGCCTTATTTTCTATAGTAGTAGTATTTATCATTGCAAAACAGTCAGTCAGATAATTCTCTGATAGAGTAGTATTAAGCTTGGATTCCCATTTATGTTGAAGATTATCTAATGATATTCCATGATTGTCACACAGCTGTGAGTAAACAAATTTACAATCAGCCTTCATTGTTGCATAAGAAATACATATAAGCATTTGCTGTGTGCTAAAACTGTATGTACCTATTTACCAAAGTAAATTTTCAGATTCTTCTAGCAATGGCAAAGTAGGGTTTTTAATATCATACGTAATAGACGTCATATTTTTACATGACATGATTAAATATCGAGGTAAAAAAACACAGAAATGGGATCAATTTGGATCAGTCATTATACCATCCAGGCATTAGAAAACCTGAAAAAGCCCACATTGCTTTGATACTTTATTACAATCAGACAAGAACTACCGGGGATATTTTCAAATAACTGCATCTGATGGGCATCCACCCTGCCTAATGTCGCACTGTTTAGGTTGAAGAAATTAACCATAACCGTGATGAGTGAGGCTGATCATCGTTTTCGCTATCACTAGCGTCTGGCTTGAACAAATAGGGCCTAGCGAAACCAAGTGATTTTGACAGAATCGTCTATGAAAGTTGAAAACAACTTGTAACTTGGAAACTAGGCAAAGCAAGAGACAAAATTAAATGACAGTAGATTGTGAGAACATATAGCTTTCATTTTCCACAACAGTTGTCATGATTTCAGGTTTATACAAACCTGTAAACAAGATAAATTACCCCCAGAAATGTACCTGAATTCTGCATCGGCCCTCATTTCTATTCCTCATATGACGTCACAGAGACGCGTTGCTCTGATTGGTTGAAATTTCGTTCGCGGGTGAGAATTGTGCACTGTTGTCAAAAAGGTCGATTTAAGTTAATTAAAGATCGAAATGAGTAGTTTTAATGACAGGGTTTCCTTTATAACGATGCCAATTAGTGATTTACGTATTTTACCCCCCTAGAGTATATGTGATCTTTAAGAAACCCTGTAGGTATGAGATAGAAGTAGCCTTATGTTCTTGAGGCAGTCTCTAATAGTTAATAATGGTGCTAGAAGTGGTATCTGGTTATTCAGACGTTGGGAGGTGATGTTGGATTTCATTCTGTCTAGTTTTGAGATGGCCTCCACCAACAAGATCACAGTTTTACCACTGTTCTCCCTCCATGTATTTAAGAAATACAGTTCACGCTACCCCATGTATAGTATAATAAAGCATGTTTTGCCCTGAACTATTGTAGTTAAAGTACAAGGACACTTAACTGTATTTCTTTTCTGAGATGCCAAGTTTGATACACACAGTAATTAATCCAGGCAGAAAACCAACAGAAAATCGAAAACGCTGTCTTTAGTTTAAGTAATAAATAGTTTGAAAATGGTTTACATTCGAGTTAAATATCTTCTCTATATTATTGTCCCCCGCTGAACGGTTAATTCGCTGAACGTCGGAGACTATGTATTCAGCATGAACATCGTACCCAATGTCTTCAAATTTGGTGACATACATACGACACCCGATTCTTGTTAACCACGAGTTTTCTAACTCTTGTAACGCGATATCTCATGAACTGTTGTACCCAATGTCTTCAAATTTGGTGTCAGCCTACATTGGGGGATCATGCAGACACCAGTTTATTTGGATGACCTTGACCTTATCAAGGTCACCACAAAATGTGCACACTTTTAACTCTTGTTAACACGATATCTCATGGACTGTTATACCCAATGTCTTCAAATTTGGTGAAAGCCTACATTGGGGAATTACGCAGACCCCAGTTATTTGGGTGACCTTGACCTTATCTTCAAGGTCACCACAACACTTTGACCGCTTTTCTAACTGATTTTAAACGCAATATCTCATAAAACATTGCACCCAATGTTTTCAATTATGTTGACAGCCTACATTGGGTGATTATGCAAACACCAGTCATTTCAGGCATCTTGTATGTGACCCAAAAGTAAAAAGTAGTAAGGCCAGACCAAATTTATTTCTTGGTTTACGTATCCTCCGGTCGTATTTTTTCAAGAATAAGAAAAAAATAAAAGTTAATTTTCCCTGCTCAAAAAATACATCCTGATGTTTTATTGGTCAAAACTGTAAATTTACAAGAAAAGTTTTTTTAGATTGTGTTTTGCCCCATATACACTTTATAAACTGCCAAAAGTAAAATACTTTTAGTGTTTATTTATTTTATATTTTTTTTCCTCCTGCCTTTAGGTTTCTGAGTACAAAAATCCGTAAAACAAGAAATAAAATTGGTCAAGCCTAAATATAGATATTCCATTCTTTAGCGGTGGGGGACATTGCCATATCAGGGGCAAACACTTATTTAGGTTACGTCTGTGATTATAAATCACATTGGGATATGAAAACGTCAAACTTCAACTACCAACGTAAGGTTTGAACAGTAAATCCAGATAAAATTGACTAGTCACGCGACTGTGGACATAGACTCAGTCAGCGAACATTCGCTGTTTAATTGTGATTTGAGCTGAGACATTTATCGATCGAAAAAAGTTAAACATAATGTTACCACAAGTGATGTTAGCTGAGTGAAGCAACTGCAAAGTAGGAAACAGGCTACTATGGAGTAGTTTACTGTAGGAAACTTTATGAGGCGATGACAACTGACGTGCAGTCGATTACCAAGCGTACGTTTAATTATGAGAGGGCAGACGAGAATGGCGTAGTGACGTCAATACAGTGTGACGTAATGCAAAAAAAGAGTATTTTATCGCCTGATAAGTACTGTCGACACCTTTGATCTTTATATGATGTACAGTGACAATTTCCTTATTATGAACCATAGTTTGTTAAACAACTTTCTTGTGATTTGTTGATTAGTAATGCAAACCAAACATAGACTCTGACTGGGTACAGGTTTTTTATTGGCTTTTGCATTTTCCTAGATATGTTGTAATTCATTGGTGTCATTTTAAACAATTTTTGGCAAACCTATTATTGCTATTGTTATGTTCACATTTGTGGTTTTGACTGTTTGTAATGTGATGGAATATATAATTGACCATGCTTTTATCATTCAAGCTTTTATTGTCATCTTTCAGATCCAAAAGGAATTTAATCTTGGGGATACAGGATGGAATGTTTTTCAGAATCGAAACAAAACTGGCATTCTTCGCAATTCACGAGCAAAGACAATTGATTCATACAAGATAAAGTGAGTGAATCTGAACCACTGAGTTTGTTTCTCTGTCAGTGCATACTACATATTATAGTTGAGTTATATATATGAGCTCATTTGTCCAGAAAGTGTAGGACCAGCTGATCTAGTGATTGACATCATGAGCATCGATCTCTTCATTTGGGACATGACATTCATTCATTCATTCATTGGATATTTATATAGTGCACATATCCACGCACAAGTGCATGCTCAAGGTGCTGGTATTTTTTAACCTCGATCATTGGATGTCAATCTCAAAGGCACATCTTATTATCAATCTCAACTTCAAAGGGAGCATACAACTCTTGCTGCCACAGGGCATGATGACATGTGTCAACCAAGTCAGCAAGCATAGGTTGCTGAAGATCAATTCTTAAAGTGATTTTCAGGGGTCACTATATATGTGGGAGAGATGTCCTTTTTTTAACACCTCTGTTTTGACAATTGTGTTAAGAACCATACCAAAATATTAGCAAAGAAACATGTTGTATTTTTCCTTATTAATGAAATGTGTATGACTTGAACAAAGACTATCACCATTTGTTTACTTTACTGCCTGTTTGAACTGTTGATGTAAGAGTTATGTATCTTTCAGACATGGTGACATGCTGTACTTGTTATCTGATGAGAAGTTATTATCAGCTGGAGACCAGGCCGAGCCGATGGACACTGGGAGACCATCATCCTCCAACTCTGTCCGCGAAGATGAGGTTGATGTCATCCTAAGCAAAGAAGATGGCAAAATATACAGGAGTAGAAATGAACAACTGTAAGAATCAAATCCAGTGTTCACGAATGGTGTTTCAAAGTCACAGGACATTGGGTCCTGTAAGTTTCAGATGTCTGTCTGACCCATTGAAAATGCACAGGACCCATGGAATAAAATTAAACACACATTTCAGATTTAATATTTCTTATAATTGACATTGAAATTATTAACAAACATAAGATTTATAAACAGCAACCAAGTGTCACATGTCACATTAAACAACTTCAGTCAAAGTCATTGTGAAATATACAGTCAGACACTGGGGCCGGCGGGTTGTAGACTTCTGTCTGACCGTTGGCAAATCTGCCGGAATTGTCAGAGGGTCAGACGCTTTTTTGTGATCACTGCAAATCCTGCCTATTTCAGTCTATTAGTCTTTGCTCTGAATCTGTCCTGAGTGCCAGGGTCAGGGTTGCTTTCTATCAGAATATCTATGTGTTGTCATGGTTACGTTCAGTGCCAAATGGATTGATGTTTCTTTTTGGTAGCTGATTCCTTGTAAAATCTTGTCGTTAGGAAGTTTGCAAATTTTTTATTACAGAAATGAACAACATTGATTAAGTTGCACATTTCAGAACAGATGGTGAATGGTTGTCAATAGTGTAAATCACTGGACTTTTCTTCAGGATTTCACACTGTTCTTGTCAGCTAGCCACAAACTTATAGAAATTGTTTTATCATGGTACATTAGTGTCAAAATGTAGCATGGTGTAGTGATGGTATATCGTACGTCAAATGGTATTTTTTCTTGTAGGTGTCATCATGGTCCTAAAGGGAAGTGTCTTCACTGTGTTCCTCTTGAAGTAAGTGGATCTTGGTGACTGTTTTTCAATATTAATTCAATTGTATTGAAGCCAAGTTAACCCTAACATGCAGTTTTTAATAAGGTACAGAGTTATCTCCCTTTGTTGTGTGTCAACATTTTCTTACCCACGTTTGTTCGTTGTTTGTTTAACCTTCTAGCAATAACATTCTAGCTATATGACTGGAGCCCGTGAATACATGAGTCTGGACCAAACAATCCTATAATGTTATCAGAGCATGATGACAGGCAATCAAATCATTGATCGTAATTACCCAGTCCATCTGGTTGCCTCATGCAGGCAGCATTTGTTGCTAGCTACCTGTTCTAACCCAGAATCCACTCAGTGTCAAACTGGCCCTTGTGTATAGCTGGAATGTTGCTGTGTGTGACAATAATCAATATACAAAAAAATCAAAACTCACAATTGATTGAGATTAAAACAATGTGTAGAGCAGGCTGCCTTTTGCACATGTTGCCAAGCAAGAAAAAATTGCTGTTTTTGGAACATAAGCTGATCGCTCACAGACTTCCCTCATGCTGGAGCAGGCTGCCTTTTACGCATGTTGCCAAGCAAGAAAAAATTGCTGTTTTTGGAACATAAGCTGATCGCTCACAGACTTCCCTCATGCTGGAGCCAGGCCTTTGCTATGTTGTTTACAAAAAGTGATCACACAGTTTCTGTATGTATTGATAAGTGATGGCATTATGAACACCAGAAAGATTGACTGTTACTGTTACACATGGTGTAACATGGTGTTACACAGGTTGCACATGGTGTAGTATAACTGGTTAGCCTCACAGTATTTGTAATATTAGCGTTTCAGGCATTGGTCAAGTGCACACTATTGAATGTTTGAAAATGGTTTCATTTGTCATCATGTTTTGATCTGCCCTTCTCTTTGCTTGCAGCCTTATGATGAAGAATTTCTAAAAAGCTGTGAACCACCTATCAAGTTTTTGTCTTTCCACTCTTACATCAGGAAGCTAACAGGAGGTGTTGACCGGTAAGTCTTATAGTAGAGTGATCATGTTTGGTTTGGTAGTCCATTTGTTTGCCAGAATGGCTGTTGCCTGCAAGCTAAAATGTATGTAGCCAAGAATTAGACTAAACAAGCCAAAAGGTGATTTAATTCACATTTCGCATAAAACAAAGTGAATGTGATTTGCTGCATTCCTTTGACTGATGTCATGACATAGCAAGAACAGAGACTGACTGTATTCACCTCAGTCAGGGGATACTTAGGACCAACCTTTACCTAGAGAGTAGCTCCAGAGAAGAGGCTCTGAAAGATTCATGAGATTTTGTCCATGTATTGGCATCAAACAACACTTAGGCTATACAGTCATTGGGATTTGCTGTATCAACAGAAGCATGACGACATACATTTTCGAAAAAGAAACCTGTGAAGATCTGGGTTAGAATTGATCTTCAGTAACCCATGCTTGTTGTAAGAGGCGACTAACGGGATCGGATGATCAGGTTCGCTTGACTTGGTTGACACATGTCATCGTATCCCAATTACATAGATCGATGATCATGCTGTTGATCACCGGATTGTCTGGTCAAGCCTTGATTATTTACAGACCGCCACCATATAGCTGGAATATTGCTGAGTGCGGCGTAAAACCAAACTCACTCACTCACTCAGTTTGAAAAAGAGATGCATTAACAAGATTGCCAGTTAGTGTAATCACTGATTTATACTTACATTGTTTCATGGTTTGTGTACCTTCAGTTGTGTAGTTTCACTCTGAAATTCAGTGATTCAATTTCTGGAAAGGTTGTCTTTGAGTGCACTGAAGATGTAGTGAGTTCCTGAGACAACATTGTCCTGACAATAAACCTGGCAGTATCTGAAATAATGTTATTCTTTATCTTTTGTTTCAGGGGGAAATTTGTTAATTTGGAAAACATAAGTTGTAAGATAAAATCAGGTTGCAAGGAACATCCCCCGTGGCCTGGAGGTATATGTACAAAATGCCAGCCAAATGCTGTTACACTCAACAGACAGGTGAATATTTTCATGTATTTTCTTGCCTCTGTATTGTGTATCGAAATGTGGAAGGCAGTGGTTTTGACAGTACATTGCATAGTATTATCTTGGTTGGTAAAGGCTCAATATTAGTAAATAGTTACATTCATTGCATCAGTACGAGTTGTTTCCACCAGTCTATTGTGCATGTTATACCACAAACAGTATGCCTGAATAATCTCATATTCTTTTGTCATGCCTTTCAGAAATATCGCCATGTTGACAATATCATGTTTGAGAACCCTGTTGTTGCTGACCGCTTCCTCAACTACTGGAGAAGCACAGGTAACCAGAGACTTGGTATCCTGTATGGCAGATACGAACCTCACAAAGACGTCCCACTGGGCATAAAAGCAACAGTTGCGGCTATATATGAACCTCCTCAGGTAAATTTATCTGTATCCCACTTGAAGTTTGTCTGCATTCTGATGCAGAACATGTTCACAATGTCCCATCCATGCTGATAGGACTGTTTTTTAACTACTTCATTAGAATGATTGGCTATAATGATGTATTGGGCCATCACAACCAGCTTGGTCCTTGAACAGAATCAGCTCAGTTCTTGTGGACCTATGTTGTCAGTGTATCATCTTGTCAGTGTATTGGTCCACAGAATCAGCTCAGTTCTTGTGGAGCTCCAACGGTCCTCAAGGTGATTGTTAGTGTGTTTGTCCACACAACCAGCTTGGTCCTCCAAGAATTCCCATGTTGTCAGTGTATTGGTCCACACAACCAGCTTGGTCCTCCAAGAATTCCCATGTCAGTGTATTGCTCCACACAATCAGCTCGGTCCTCAAGGAGATTTCCATGGTGTCAGTGTATTGGTCCACACAACCAGCTTGGTCCTCACTGAAGTTCCATGTTTGTATGCCAGACAATCAGATAGATCACATATTCTGAACACTTAGTCCCTGTTTTAGTCTGCAGTATTTTCTGTTGGTTTTGGAGTTTCATGTGTTCCAGTTATTCACCTATTTATCTGTGATTAGTCAAAACATGGTTGCCTAAGGAAAATACGGAATACTAAACTCTGAATCTCCAGGATATATCAGGACTGTAATATTAACTGCATTCTAAATGTTAAATGTGAAAATGTTTGAACATTTTTGCTTACTTTTATGGATGTAGACTTTGAGATAAATATTTATAATTTGTTCTGTTACCAACCATTTCAGCAAAGTTCCAAGAACAAGATTGAGCTACTGCCAGATGAAAATGAAGCGGTTATAAACGAGGTAGCAGAAAAACTGGGAGTGATGCCAGTTGGATGGATATTCTCTGATCTTGTAGCTGAAGATCTCACCAAGGGCACTGTTAAGAACTTCAGAGGAAACATGGTGAGGTGTATTTGTATAAAAGTATGAAAAGTAATAGCTCTTACAATACTGTGTGGACCGCCTCCGTGGTGTACTGGTTAGAGCATCCGCCCGGAGAGCGGAAGGTCGCGGGTTCGATCCCCGGCCGCGCCATACCAAAAGACGTTAAAATATGGTACTTGTTGGTCCCTGCCTGGGGCTTGGCATTAATGGGTACAACAAGGACTGGTCGGCTCGGAGTCAGTATAATGTGTCTGAGTGGGGTATTCATGCTTCACTGCGGCATGGTATCTCAGTGGGCTAGCACTATAAAAACAGCTTAAGTCTGGGCTAGTACAAGCAGCGCACACACACACACACACACGTATGCACGTCGTCATATGAGCGAAATATTCTCAAGCACGACGTTAAACGACGTCAATCTCACCTCACCTCACCTTACAATACTGTGTTGTGTCAATATTTTCATTATATATAGTTCTCTTATGTCAGAACATGGACATTTTATTCCACTGTATTATTATTTCTTGATCATGCTTGTTTACTGCCAATGTTACTGATATGACCTTTGATTTTCTAGTCAACGAGATCATACCAATAATGATCAACTTTCTGTTGTTCTTTCCAAGGATGCCCACTTTCTGAGTTCAGAGGAATGCATTATGGCAGCAGACTTCCAAAATAAGTATCCGAACCCATGTAAACTGTCCTCTAATGGACACTTTGGGTCGAAGTTTGTCACCATAGTAGTCACAGGTAAGCCCAAGTTATCATCGCTCTGAACCAATACCAGCAGGCCTAGTTGTCACTTACTTCATTATTAGCTCACAATATTCATTAGTCCTATACAATTTAGGGGCGATGGGGTAGCCTAACTGTTAAAGCCCGGGTTTGATTCCCCATATGGGTCCAATTTGTGAAGCCCATTTCTGGTGTCCCCTTTGTGATATTGCTGAAAGCAGCTTAAAACCATGCTCACTCACTCACCCAACTATACAATTTACAAGTTCTAGATGATCGTATGAATATTTAATGTATACTTATTAGTTAGTTACAGCCCTGTAACAACAGTGTCCTGTATCAAGCTACTTTGTAGATAGTGCAGGCAGCTATTAGAGTGACCAGAAATTCTCCCTTGGCATCATCTACTGTAACTTGTTTTTAGTCTACTGTAACAAAATGTTACCTTCATCAGGTTCCAGACTATTATTCTAGTGGTTAAAGCGTTGGCAGATCGCGCCCGAAGACCCGGTTCGATTCCCCACATTGGCACATACAAGACATTGATAAACAAAATATTGCTAAAAGCGGCGTAAAACTAAACTCAGTCAGTCAGTCCAGACTAGGGGCTGAATTTGCAGAATTGATCACTGTTGATAGTTTTCCCAAGGTCATGATCTTACACTATAGATTGTCATGGTAAATGGGTGATTTCATATCACAATCCAAATTGTTATGATGATGTCATGACATTTTGTGGATAGCCATGGAGATGTCATGACACTTTGTGGATAGCCATGGAGATGTCATGACACTTTTTGGATAGCCATGGAGATGTCATGACACTTTGTGGATAGCCATGGAGATGTCATGACACTTTGTGGATAGCCATGGAGATGTCATGACACTTTGTGGATAGCCATGGAGATGTCATGACACTTTGTGGATAGCCATGGAGATGTCATGACACTTTGTGGATTGCCATGGTGATGTCATGACACTTTGTGGATAGCCATGGAGATGTCATGACACTTTGTGGATAGCCATGGAGATGTCATGACACTTTGTGGATTGCCATGGTGATGTCATGACACTTTGTGGATTGCCATGGTGATGTCATGACACTTTGTAGAATGTTATAATGACTTCTCATATTGTCAAGATTAAGTGTGCTATGTATGTATCATGGTTTGTTGTTTTCAGGTGACAACAACAACCAGATCCACTTCGACGGCTACCAGGTTTCCAATCAATGCATGGCATTAGTGAGAGATGACTGCCTTATTCCCACTAAAGATGTTCCCGAGCTGGGCTATGTCAAAGAGTCAACGAATGAACAATATGTCCCTGATGTCTTTTATAAAGTATGATTGGAACATTTTACTTGTATCAACTTGAACTAAATTTCTGTCTCACTTCCTCTGCATCATTGAGAATAATTTATTTCATATGATCATGGCTAGAACCAGTGATTAGCAGAAATCTCACAAGGACAGCTTATTTTTCCCTTGGATGTTGGATGCAGTTTGTGTTCAAAACAAGCTCACCTAATGTTCAACATGACCCCCTGCACTGTACAAGTGGGAGAAGGTTTTTGTGATGAAGTTCTGTGTTTTCACAGAGTTAAAGGGCTTTCAATATACAGCGTTTTCTGTCTGAGGAATATTAATAATTTCTATCTGAGTTATTATGTATTGACTGTTATGGTTTTTGGTGATTGCTTTACAGAACAAAGACAACTATGGGAATGAGGTAACTCAGCTTGCTCGCCCCCTCCCAGTGGAGTACCTCCTGGTAGACCTCCCAGCAGCCTTCCCGGTCCAGCCACAATACACGTTCCAGACAAACAATGGCCTGAAACCCTTCCCTGTAGAAAACCGTGCTAACATTGGGGAATGTCAGGTATAGGCTTTGGAAATTCCTATATATTCTGATTGCAACAGTCATGATGTGTACAATGTACTGATATTTTTGGTTGCAGATTATTTTTGTATTATATTATATTCACAAGATCTACTGTCATACCAGCAATTTAACTTTATAAAGTAATGTCATTGTGTTTAGTTTGTGTAAAATTGGTTGAGTTTTAGATAATAATGACTTTAATAACGCGTAAGTTAATTATTACAGGTTCGATTTTGATTTTCATTACTAGTTTCATTAAAAATACTTTTTGGAATTTGCCAGGTAATGGTTATGAACTAGATGACCCTACCAAGATGACAAATGGTCACCATGCAAAGTTAGTCAATAGATTATCTGACAGCTGAAGCCATTGATTACCCACATTAGTTTCTTGAATCATCACTTTCTGGGTACACATGCACTGACTTTCTACTTTTGCCTTCAGGACTTCACCAGCTTAGTGCAGTACATGGAACAGTTTCCACCTAACCGTTTCCTGGATGCAATGTCAGACTTTCACCTTCTGCTGTTCTTGGCAACATCAGATCTGCTGCCTCTCAAAGTAAGGCGGAACTACTCTTCCTAGTGATGTGTTGTACTGTGGTCTCCAGACCAAGGAAGAGATCACCTCATATTTAGCTTACTGTAAACGTATTATATTTCTCGCAGGTTTTATTTTCGCGCTTTTTGCGCAAAACATTATAGCGCGAAAATTTATACACCGCGGATAAACCTGTCATTCATTCAGTCTAGCCACGCTTGCCCCTGAGTTGTTACCATAACATATCAAGTTTGAAGACAGAAATCTACGGGAATCTTAAAATGACGACTGAAAGTAGCATAAAGAATCATACTTAACTGTCGCTGTAATGGATTTCCCAAAACATAATTAAATAAAGAGCCAAATCCCATCGCTGAATTAGCAAAAACAGCAATGTGTGTTGTGGCCGCCATGGAAATTGGTCACATGACAGATGGTTTGATACAAATCAGATTACCATGAAACGACTCGGAAAGAAATAATACAGCAGCATTTTATTTATTCATTAAGATTTTATTTACCAGTACATCATGAAGCGAATAGTCACTTAACACTCAATCATCTCATTCACAACAACCCGGCTTGTTTGAAATCACAAAGAGCTTCATATATAGTAGAAGTTAATTCGTCAGAATTCGGGAACATAAGACTGATGTGTTTTTCATCTCTTCCATGAGTAAACGGATTACTGTGTACTAGTATATCGCACAGATAGGGATTTCCTGTGAGTAAGCAATAAACGCCGCCTGACAGGTTAAGCCACTCTGTTTGTTTTCATTGCTATTAGTGGCGGCCAAAGAGACAGCTGGCAGTTCCGGCAATTACTGATTGCGCGATGTAGTCTAAACTGTCATTTCCACGAAAATTGCACCACGCGAAATTAAGTACGTTTACAGTATTATCTTTGTAATGTAATGATTTAAATTACAAATTGTCTGATGGATCAATAAAACAGTGATCCTTTGCAATAGATTCTTTCATGATAGTATTGGGTACTCAATGGCTCCCATAAAAGAGTTCCCCAACAACCATATATCTTCATGTCATGGTAAATAGTATGTCACATATCCACTGTGTGCTCAAGTTAATCTTGTAAGAATCAACTAGGAGAATTCAGGATGGATGGTAATATAAAGGGTCCATTGTGTATCCTCATGTTATAGGTTTTCAGAAGCTTGAGAAACATTCATAGTTTTCTTGATTACTGTGAACTGTGACACATCGCACAAACTTATATAAGACAACATTGTCAGAAGGACATGCCATCATCTGAGTACTGAGTAGTCACAATATTCGTTTGCTTCAACACACCTCACTATTCCTCAAGTAAACACTGTCGTCTGACATTGAATCCTTGGTTTTTTCGAGTATGTTTCCTAAGTTTGTCAACAACACCACTTTGATTGTGGGTTTTACCAAATTTGTGAATGTTTAAGACTTGTGTCACTTCTGCTTTTCTTCCCCTATTAAGCCGAAATGTCATGAAATAGTTGGAATACTGTTTGAAGTCAACTTAAAACCTAAGTCACTCACTCACTCAGATTATGTGACATTGTACCCTAACTCTGTATGGTTGGTCTGATAACCAATTTCCAAAAAGCCATATGTATCTTACTATGGCTTTAAGAATGATTTGGTGTAGTATTTAACATGTTTAAAGAATGAAAAAAATGATTCTGTCCAGATATGCCTCATCAATAACAACATACTTACGTTGTGTCTCTGTATGTCTCAGGACAGGATGAGTGTGGCGCTAGAAGCAGTTAGGACAAGGAGTGAAGATAAGGCATTAGAGTTCAAGAGAAGTGAGGAATGGGCAACTGTTGAAGAAATGATGTCCGCACATGGTATGTATATTATTAGTCATAACTCAGAGATCAAAATGATTATCTGATTAATTTATCATTAATGGTGCTCATCAAAGATCGAACACTTTGTGTAAATTCCTGGGTCAAGGTCCCCAACATGATTTTTGTAAGTGTAGACTAATGACAAAGTGTTGGGTGATTACCATGAATGGCCGCATAAATATGTCTCATTGTGCTGCTATGGTTTGGATTGTTGACCAAACAGTGGTTTCCTTTTTCTATACTTGATAATTGGAATATTTTAAACTGTGGCAAAATACAACATTCAGTGTGGGCTAATCACTCTATCTTTCTCCATCCATCCATCCATCCGTTCATTTCTGATAATAGCTGACTATGAAAACAAGAACCTTCAATTGTATAAGACTTAGTCATAAGATTTAACTCTGTTGACTTTGTATGCAGTGACTGACTATCTGTTTCAGCGCCGTCCCCACCGATGTCCCGCCAGGCGTCCTATGTTGGCCCTGGTGCAGCCCCTCTGCCACCTATTGGCAGCACTGCCAGTTCATGGACTTGTGATCACTGTACATACATCAACAAGCCTGAACATACAGCCTGTGATATCTGCTCTCTACCACGATGAACGCCTGGCTAGCTCCGTCTAGGTCTATATGCAGGAAGAACGATTGTTGAGATCATGAACCCAAGTCAACACACACCTTGCTCATGTCTTACGGTTGTGGGAATAACATGGGAATACAGTCCTCCTTGTTAATGCATGTTTAATGTTCATATATAATCAAACGCAATTATGTATATGAACAAGTAAAGCAAGTTCAGCAAGAACCGAGTGGCTCAGTGGTACTGTGTTTCCTCCTCATCAATAAGGCCTGGGTTTGATTCTATAGTTGGAAGATTTGAAGTCCATTCTCTGTGTCCTCTGCTGTGGTAGTGCTTCATGACTGACATGGGACTTCTAAGACCAAAGTGCCCCTGACTGACAAGATATGAAAGGAATGTTTCTGACTTGGGCTGATGAGCCGTTGATGAATACTGTCACAGATGTAAGATGTAACTGAAGAATTTGTGATGACATTGTAAGTGCTATCAATAATGTGAGTTTATGTAAAGAAATAGGTCTGGCTCATTTTGGCTGTTTGGATGTGCTGTTTATATGTATAGAATGTTAAAACAAAAGGATGTTTCCCAAGACAGGAGACTGTTTATACTGTGGCACACTTGGAAGGGGAATGTTGCCCCAGCATTACTCCTTTGATCTTGTTAGAAGATGTTTGGATGTGCCATGGTGTTCCAAGCATATCTGTAGATGCCTGTCTTACACTCATTGTCAAAATGGTTTCAAGTAGGAAAGAAGGAGAAAAGCTTTGGAAGGATATCAGTCCTGATTAAGAAAGAAATAAGTAATCTCAAAAAAGAAGATGTTTTTCCTCAGAAAAGTGGACAAGCTTTATTGTCTCCCACTGGAGAAGCTTCTGGAGAAAAAGTTCCATTTACTGCTATTATGACTTAGTTTGATTCCATCATCTGGCTGGCCTCTACTATTTACAATATAAACAGTTGTGTTATTAGCATTGGGTTTCCCCCTGTATTTAGTGTTAGTAAGACTGGCTTCATGTTGTAATGTTTTGCTTGCCACAAACTTCAGTCAGAAAAGGCTATGAGCTTCAAGGCACATGATATGAATAGAGTCTAATACAGTTTTCAGGTCTTATAAATATTTTCATCTGAATTGTATCTATCAAAGTGTGATACCTTTTTGATAAATCATTCATCAAGACTGGCAAATGTACTTACAATTTGATACGGATTCTGAAAATTTAAAATTAGAAAACCAGATACTGATATATATTTTAGCTATTTCATATGGGAGTACAAATCCCAAACTATGATTTATTATCTACAACTTGGCAGATGGCACATAAGGATCTGTTCCTACATGTCATACAGTTACGCTGCAGTCTAAAGAGATTTTGGAAGCAGACTGAACTGGGAGAGCTGTATTCATTATACTCTAAAAAAGAAATTTATGTATAGCAGGGTCTTTGACATGGACACCATTCTACAAAGCAATTAAACTGCTAAGGTAATCATGACTCTGAATACTTCCTATAGACTTACAGTAGTGCTAAAGTGTTGAAGAGAACCATGGTCAGATCCAGAAGTTTGTGAAGAGGATCCACATTTGTGGATTGTAGTGATCTATACATACCTGATCACAGATGGACATATATGTGGCCTCAGCATTAAGATCAAATGATTTGGGCGAATGGTTGGATTGAATTTGTAGTCGATATACCCGATAATGCAAACTAGGCTACAAGTAGCTGTGATCACTATTCCTAAGAATGGCCTAAGTAGCAAACAGTGTTCTGATGGCATGAGCATTTATTTTGTTTATTCAAAGTCATTTCATTTAATTTCTCATATAAATATTCAATTTTAACTAAGATAACCTTTTGGTGGCTATTTTTTTTTGCCATATGGCCAGAACAAACTTTTCAGTTGGACATCTGTCAGCTTGGTTATTTCTGTCAAAATACAAGCTGTAAATGCATTAAGGTGCAATGCCGGATACATTTATGTTCATTTTTATAAGCTAGAGAGGACACTTGTTTCTTCTTCAACCAGCACTGATTTTATACAAGAGGGTTTGAACCCATGCAAAATATTGTCTGAGCGTCAAGTTTGATGTTCTATATCACACTGGACCTGTGCCCTGTGTGGACCTTATGTATCATTTGGTCCTCTGTTTCTTCACTTTCATGTAAGAAATTCTGCAGTGCCTATGTTTGTTGCTGACTGTTTGCAATCAAGGGAAACTGACTGGAAGTGATTGTAGCAAACAGTATCTGGTATCATCAGATATCTCCGTCTTTCTGCAAGCACCATATTTTACAGTCTGGAGTTGCAAAATTTGTTATTGCTTCATCAGTTCACATGGAAGTGAACATATGTTTCATCGTTAGACAAATTGTTCACCAGTTGTCAAGATATAGAAAGGCATCATTGGCAGGTTTAATTTATTGTACATTTAGTTCCTTGTTTGATGATTTCAAATGTATTTTAAGTTTAACCAGGAAGTATTTGGGGCCAGCAGTGGTAAGTTCAGGCTAAAAGTTCTATTAAACAGTAAATTAGGCTTGATACACCAAGTACACAAATGTACATGTATTTGTTAATTGAAAGCATAATTTATTTTCTTGTGTGTATATTATGCCTTTATCAAGAGGCAAAGCCATCCATGTTAATAAACATCATCACTCATTTCCTGGTCTGTAATTATGTTATAAACTGTTGGATGTCAGGTTTGGTTGTCCTTCTGATTCCTATGTATAGCTGTACAACCAAACAGGGGCGACATTAAGGCAACACCTTTAAGCTCACCTTCACATAGAATTCTGAAGTTAATTTTTATATTTTTGAGAGCTGATAAAGTTCACTTTTCAGCTGTAAAGAATTTAAGTCATATTGCATGCTAAATTGTTGTGGATGAAAAGAAAATAAACCTGGAAAATAATGCTTTATGGAAAATTCAGCAGCGTAGATGTCTCCATTGTAATTCACCCATGCTGCTTCCCAATGCCCCAATGGGGGATAACTTCTGTGTTATAATGTATAATTTCTCTTGGGGTGTGAAAGGTTGGTTTGGCCAAGGTTGATAAAGGATAGCACTTGTTCCTGGCCTATACATTGATGGGACAAAACAGGTACTGGTCACCTTGGCGTCTGTATAATGTGTGGGATTGGGATATCTGTGACATGGGGTCACACTGGCTGGAACTACGGGACAGCTACAAGCAGCCACACACTTATACAATTTATGGAAATGACTACCTAACTATTCTTCTATACTAAATACTTGTAAACCCTACAGTGGCCTCCCACCAGCACCATCGCTTATCCAGTGTACTATACTTCAATTTACTCCACCGTAACTACCCTGCGTCCATAGCAGTGTTTGTGAAGTGGCCTCATCTCTCAAAATGACTGCATCACGTCGGGTTTTCCCTCATAACACCGGGATTTAACTGGAATACTGCCCAAAGCGGTGCAAACCCAACTCTCCACATTATTTTCCCTCCGAATGTCTCACAAACAATAATTTGATTGAATGTTATTGTCTTGTTTTGAAAAACGTGACTCCAACCGAACCTATGCTTCTAAACGGGTCTAGAGTTTATCATTATCACTGACGTGCAATACGCTGGACGATCGGGGCATCTCTCGCCTACATCCCCCGTCTCAAATAGCAACTGTTTTTGACCAATTATGCTGTTTGGCCGGTTCGTTGCTGACGTTCGTTACACAATTAGACAGTCTCCACTCCCACACCGGTAGAAGCATTGGGAATAATCCAAACAGATCATACAGCTCCACATTACAATGTCACGCTGATTTCAATGTATTGCATGTAGGCGTGCTGTTAGATACAAAATACCGAATAGATAGTCGAATGTACGCCAGCAATTACTCGAAAATATAAAACTAAACTTGTACTGTGTAGATACATACACGAGACGCATATGGTTATTGTATGCGGTTAGTTTAGGCAAATATTCACGTGACAGCTCGCTCTTTAAACTCCCGAAAGAAGCCACTGTTACTGAGCGTATGGTCTTTGCATGTAAATTGATCATCTGAACACCACTAAATGGCTTTGGCTGATAGTGTAACTCCTTACCTATAATTTTTGCCATTATTTCCATCAAGCAGATTTATACAAGCATTAATCAGACTTAACGTACACATTGTGTAAGACAGCCATAATCTTATATCGATCAAGAGCTAACATTGCGTTTCCCTCTTTGTATGATGCTCCTGGTATTATTGTGGAGATGTCCATTAAGACATCGATGTATTTACATAATACAGCCTCTCTATCACTGGGTCCGACCTGGGCACCAACGATCCCGATGCAACGTCATGATGACGAAGTAACGGTGACGAGTGACGGTCAATGGGGGCTATAAAACTGTCAGCGGTACCTATGTGACCGTCGACGATTTCAATTTAACCAACAAGGAGGCGGACAATGGTGTTCATGAGACCGTCCACGCTGGCGATGCGACTGACAGTGGTGTCGATGTAACCGTAAAAGATGCCAGTATGACAGCCAAAGATGCCGATGTGATAAACAGTGGCCCTGTTTTAACTGCTACCGATGTCCATGAGACCGTCAATGATGCCGAGGGGACCGCGAATCGCAACCTCCTATGGGGAAACTCATCTCTCCGTGTGGTGAGAGGGGAGACAGACGGTATCTGTGTAAAGTGTCCAGGGAAATCACTTCATCCACTTCAAGGGCTACTTACATCAAATGTCACACACAGAGGCAATAAGCTGCGCTCAATGGAACGCAAGTCGATAACTACCAAATTCAAATTCTTGTCATTTCTTAACCCAAGGCGAATATTTGGAGATACTGGCAATTGCTTCTGCTAAATTAACCCCACTCCGATTGATGTGGTGTCGCTAAGAATGACATTTATTCTTTGCCCGTTGAGTTCTTTATGATCCTGTGCGGAAGTGAGTTCTTCAGATCATGTCCAAAACTGAGAGAAGTTTTTTTTAAAAAGGCCCGTAGAACGAAACTTTCAGCTCTTATAGAAAGTCTATCTTCTACATCTGTTTACTTCTATTTCTAATCAATACACTGTTGACTGGCAAATCAAGGCAGTGAGCAAAAAGTAACATCACATGCCTTTAGACCGAGCAAACATGGAAATGACGAGCAGGTTTTCAATATATCTACCACAAAAACTTGGTTCTCAAAATTGTCAATTGTTTTCCTAATAGCCATGTGGTTTAAATGAAATATTGCATTTACAAATGCAGACGCCGCTTATGCACAACCCAGTACACGGAGCAGTGAGATAAATACAGACATTGGTGAGAGTCTCCAGTTGAAATGCTAAATGATAGCTGACTTGCAGTCTCATAGAGGATTTCATTCAAGCCTTTTATACAGCTTTCGTTGGCTGCCAATATGCCATCATTTCAGCTTAAAGTGTGAAGAAACCCGAAGTGATGCTGGCAGATGTTTACCATGCTGGTGAAATCCACGAGCACAGGGGAAGTGCTGACAAACCTCGAAACATAATTGGGCAAACAGGATTGGAATCTAAGATCCTGGTGTGCCCAGGGGAAACAACTCTGCACAGCGGTTAGCCTGGAATTGAAATAACGGCCAAGTAATAGAGCATGGCCATTAACGTTCTTAAAGTATGTCACAAGATGAATTATTTTACCTTTTTGTTAGAATAAAGTGAGACTGCTCCATGCCTGTAGCACGAGACTTTCAGGGCTTATAGTAAGTGAGTATGGTTTTACGCCGCTTTTAGTAATATTCCAGCTATATAACGGCGGAGGACACCAGAAATGGGATTCACCTTGTACCCATGTGGGGAATCGAACCCAGGTCTTCAGCGCGACGTGCGGACACCAATTAGGACCCGTGAAGATCCTGGTTAGAATTGATCTTCACTAACCCATGCTTGTCGTAAGAGGCGACTAACGGGATCGGGTGGTCAGGCTGACTGACTTGGTTGACACATGTCATCGTATCCCAACTGCATAGATCGATGATCGTGGTGTTGATCACTGGATTGTCTGCACCAGATTCGATTATGTACAGACCGCCACCATATAGCTGAACTTACTCACTTAACCATTAGGCTACCCCACCGCCTCTCAAGTCTATCTTCTACATCTGTTAACCTATCTTTCTGACCAATACACTGTCGACTGGCAAATCAAGGCAGTGAGCAACAAGTAGCATCACATCCGACGAATATTTCTATCAACTGTAGATATGATGTACTTAGTTGAGTGCATACTATTCTTCTAATGTCACAAGAAATATTTATTCATTTACTCTAAATTACACAACACAGAGCAAGCCATGAAATAGATATAAAGGAATTGTATGTTTTAAAATCTGGTTTAGTATTTTATTCATTAAAATGTTTAACAAAATGTTTAACAGCTCCTCAGTATCAATGTCTCATTAAACTACCAAGTTGCAGGGGAGTAAAATCGTATTTTACTTACACGATCCTAGTTATCCTTTAATAAACGATGATGAAAATGAACGTAGTCAACATTCCCTAAAACGCTGGATTTTGTTATTATTGATGTGGAGTTTCTGCAGTAAGCACAATTGCGCGATTGTCCGTCTTACGGGATCTCTTAGTCCTGTATCGTCAGGCTTGATATATCTACATTCTATTTCGATAAACACTGGACTAGAGATATACAAAAGTGCATAATACATGGTAGGTTTCTCCATGACCCCTGTATCCCTGATAAAAGAGTGAGTGAGTCTTGGTTTTACACCGACGTATTCCAGCATAGTCGGGACAGCCAGCACTAGAAACTGGCTTCACAGTGTACACATGCGTGGAATAGAGCACGGGCCTTGCGTATGACAAGCGACCCAACAGTCCTGGGTCTCGATCCACCAAGTATTCGTAGCGCTACGACATTCGTAAGCCAATGGTAAACTATAGAGTTACGACAGGTCGTAACGTTACGAACTCTCTGTGGATCGGGACCCTGGTAATAATAGTCAATAAGGTAACATTTAATGTACCTAATATGACATGGCTACCCTTGATGCACCACTGAATCACAAGCTACCTGTTCCAGTATTTTGCCACGGAGCACCGGAAACCATAGGGGAGGACTGGAAGCACCGGATCCCCGCGTCATCATTACTGTTGAATCCGGGTCCTTCCTGACGGCTGTCAAATAGTCCTGCCGTAAAGGTGTTATCAGCTGGCAATGATGGACACATTCAGACTAATCAAAGGGATATCAATGCTGGCAATGGATTTTGTAAGCCTTATTAGTCACACCGAGCGTCAATAAAGGAATAATACCCAAATGGTAATTAGTTGCTAAATAGTGAGTTTGGGGTTTAACGATGATTTGACAGTTTATCCGTTATTTCATGTCGTGTCATCTGGCTGGATCAACTAAAATGGTGCAGAACGCAGACCATCTGAACTATGTTAATTAACACGAGGACAAATATGGAAATGACAGATTCGAACCTGTGAGCAGCGGATCCAGGCTCGCTATAGGGACGTAAGTCGGCAGCGGATTGCTGAGCTTTGGACCACTGGGCCAGTACTGTCTCCTGTTTCAAAACATGCGAAGTTTAAATGATTTAACATGATCATATACAAATTCCAACAATTCTAAAGTTACTTTTAGGATAAGGTATCAAGCCAAAGGTTCAAAATCAAATGTTTAGGTTTCTTAATCTTTCTTTAGCACATTGGAAATAAAATGTTGATATATGACCCAGGTTTATTATTACCCAGGTTTATTATGACTGCGAATTTAACATTCCGTTTCTGCACTTTATAAAAACTCCCGCCAAACACAAGCACACACAACAGCCTTTCTTGGAAGGTCTTCATGGGAATTACCTTGTGATGGCCTAGTGGTTAAAGTGTTGGCTCGAATCTCCGGGTTCGATTACCACAAGGGTTCAATCAGTAAAGCTGACATATTGCTAACAGAAGGGTTAACCCTGACTCGCTAGGTCATTTCTGCATGCGAAATATTCGGTCGGCTAGGCTTTTCATATAGATCTGGCAGAATCAGCCCACACGCAAAGCGTTATTTACAAAAATCCGACCACTTTCACATGCTTTCGAATGGAAGAGTTATATACAGTATTGATCGTGAGAAGCCTTAAAAAATATGACATACGCTGGTAAGGTTGAAAGGTCGAAAGATTCTCAATGAGGTAATACAAGCACGCGAGATCGTATCAAACGATTTTGGTTGTAGGTCTCGCCGGAAATAACGAGAGCAGCACAACGATGCATTGCGTCTGAAAGCAAGACATGCTGGGATTTATTCAAAAAGACAAGAATCCGTTCCCATCCTATATGATTATAAACATTTAAAGATTCACTGAAGCAGCTACAGAATGGCGTGCACATAATACTTTCAACGCAGTCTTCATTCAGGACGGGAGAGTAAAGGAGTCACATTGTTTCACCTCTGAATAATGTTCATCGGATAAAATAAGTAATATTCACATATCAAAGTCAATGCCGTTACAGTTGCAGATATACGTTACACAAAGGAACGTGTCCACAAACCTGTCTTAGCGATCGGACGTAAAACATGGACATCTGCCGTCGTGATGATCTAAGCCCACAATGGCTTTGTGAAAATGGATGGCAATTGTAGCCGAAGCCTGAGATCGCAATTTTAAGGATTTACAATAATTGTGTCGCAAAGACTGTTTGTTCAAGTGCATAGGAACTGGATTACAGTTAAACCTCGTTTATACAGATACCTGATTAAAATAACATAAATAGTGTTACAGTGGCAATTTGTTAATAAATATGTCAATATATTAATAAACACATAATAGTGTTAAACATCGTCAAAAAAGATTAGACTATAGTAATAATTATAAGAGGAGGAACGTCGTTCTTACACACAGTTGATTACAGTGTATAATAGTTAAAACGTAGCAGTCGAATAAAGTTATTATTATCGAAGTCAGTGGAACAACGTTAATATATATAGCGTCAGGCAATAGTTAAAGGAGATGAGATACATATCTACCGGAACTTGGTAGATAAACATAGAAAGGTTATAATATGTCCACGAGGACATGAATTTCATACAGCCTCGTAATACAGACATTTGAAAACTCCTTTAAACAGACATAGAGCAAAATTATCAAAAATCATGAGAGCAAGCCAAGAGTTTGGTGATGATGTCAAAACGGCCCAATTACACACAGCAATCTTAAGAAAAACACGGCAAATCACGTCAACAGAATATGGTCTCTTGGGTTGGTTCGCTTAATAGGGTCTTGTTATACATTCAGCTGTTCAATCTTCGTTAGACGACACTGACCACTACAGTCGCTGTGACAGATGAAATGTCCACTTCCCAGTCCGGCAGACACGATGCAGACGGTGGGCGTCATGTATCAGATGGTGTTTTCCCATGGCGAAGACCTGGCGCGGACGCGATGTTGGCAGTATATTGGGTGTCGCTAAGCTTTCATGAAGGAATGCCGGGGTTTTACCTGTTAATCGAGCCACTAAGGAATAACATATCATATATATTTAAGCGTGTCATGTGTTCACATTCGTATAACAGGTTAAAAATGAAATCTCGTATTTCCATATGTTAAATTAACCTCCCTAAGATGAATAACAAGTAACATCACACGTTGACTTTCTGATAAGACGATAGCCAATCAAAACCGTAACTCATGACGTCAGTTTTTGATGACGTAATAATGTCGTGCCATTAATTTATTGCACGGCGTTCTACCTACTCAGTGTGTCATGATACTGGAGACACTAGTACTGTCAACAAGGTAAACCATCTTTGTTGGTCACGTGCTGACTGGGACAGTCGGTGGTACAAAGAAGCTGGAGACGATGATGAGGATGAAGATGGTGACAGCAATGGAGACGACGCAGATGATCTTCACCACACGCCCAAGACGTCGAGCTCGTTCACAGTTATTACGCATGTACTCTCCGTCCGCCTGCACTGAAAAAGACCAAGACAAATCACATTACGGGTTGTCGAGTCTGATACAGGTTGGTGTGTAGATGTGATCATGTCTTTGTGTGGGGGACGGGGGACGGGCGGGGTTTGGCCTGGGAGAGAGACGCCCCGTCCTTGCAAGGAGTCAGATTATATTCGTGTAACATAAATAGATTTTTGAAGGGACTACGCTTTAAGGCAATTAGAAAGCTGTTTTGAAATTGCTGAAAATAAAGAGTTTTTCTGATAAAGATTGAAAACAAAACAAAACAAAACGTTATCATGGTGCAGATGTACGTCGGTAACACTCATCATGAATAACGAGCGATGCCGCTTTACCACAGCCAGACTAAATCAATAACAACCAAGTCGCTGGAACTTTGTCTTAAAAAACTAAATATCCGCAGTTTTATTGAAATCGTCGTGTCCATGTATACCTGTCCTAGTAACAGCACATTTGTCACTGTACGGGGAAGACCCGTCAAGGCCCGGGTTAAAGTGAATCTTCAATAACCCATGCTTGTCGTAAGAGGCGACTAACGGGATCGGGTGGTCAGGCTCGCTGGCTTGGTTGACACATGTCATTGGTTCCCAATTGCGCAGATCGATGCTCATGATGTTGATCACTGGATTGTCTGGTCCAGACTTGATTATTTACAGACCGCCGCCATATAGCGGGAATATTGCTGAGTGTGGCGTAAAACTAACTAACTCACTCACTCACTCACTGTACGGGGAACCCTGTACAACATTTTTTATATGCTACATATAAACACTACGAGGTTAAACGACTCTAACTTCCCATGCGCGTTACAAATAATCGGATAACAAATGAAATTAACTCATTGATTTTTAAGTAATTGCATTCCTATAAACCCCGAGGCAAAGGATTCGGAGTGTAGGAAGACTTATAAAAAGATATAATAAAGACCACTGCCGTTGCCGGAAGTGTCTTTGCTACCCATGTGATGCAAATACTATCATGGAAATTGCAACATCCGAACGTAACGCTGCTGCAGACTTGGTTGCTGAATCTATAACATCTGTATTGATCAGAGATGCAGCTGGACCTTCGTGTCCAACTTGGTCGCATTTGCTCGCCCATTTCACGTAAGATTACTGTTATCGAATGTTGGATATTGAATAGTGGTCATGGATTATGTTTTTTCCTACTGGGGCACCTGTCTCAGATGTGTACTTTTAACTTTCACAGGGCACAGGTAGCGCAGGTAACTGTACAGAAATGCAACAAGTGTCAGAATCCAATGACCGTTTTCTCCAGTAATAAGATTACCGTGTTAAGAAATTACGGTTGTCCGTTTGGTGTCACAACAATATGAAATAATAGCCTACGCTTTTCGCTCACATTTTGCAAACACGTCGTAGAAACACTGAACTATTGTATTGGGTTAACCCTATAGTGTATTACGTTAACCCTCACTCGTTCACTCGACCCTGCTATACATGCACATGTGGTAGATTTGGAGCTTAGGAACCATTAGCCTGCAGATGTGGTGCTAATATGTTCCTGGACTCAGTGCAAGTGACAACAACAACCGGAAGTCAGGTCCGATACTCTCCGGCCATCTTGGATTTGTTCAATGGCATGAATCTAAAGTATGCTTTAGTGTCATGAACAGATCTAACCAATTTACGCCAAGGTCGTCTGCGAATATCCAGTTTACTCCGTCTCCAACGAGCAAGGGGGATTCAGGGCAATGTTTGTGATAAGACAGATGGTAACGTCACTTTCGAAACGAAGCGGTGAATCACTCCAGGGTATTGATGATAGCAGAATTCATGTATAAAAGCCTGATAGTTGAGGATTTATCAGCATAGGCAAAAAGACGTTCCCACTGATTGCAATACTTCTAATCATATATAAGTTAAAGGGGGACAGTGTATGGGATCTGGAGTCAGTATTCTTTTGTTTGTTGTTTTCGCCGCACACATCAATATTCTAGTTGTGGCCTGTAAATAATCAGGACAATCCAGTGATTGACGCGATGAGCAATATCGAAAGTCATCGGGGCAACCAAGTCCCTTGACCACCCATACGTTTATAGTCTCTACAGATATTGGCCACAGGTGTCCTTTTTTAGTGTGTGAGGACCATATCATAAGACCTATAACATCAAGCCGTCAATGCTTGAATAATGTGTGAAAGAGCGTTATAGTGAGATAATTGCCCACTGCGATCCGGACAGAGTCATTCCTATCACGTATAGGGACAATCTGGACGGCAGCGATAGGGGATCCAAGACGGCCACAACTATAGTATCTGATTCAGGTGACAGTATGACTGATTCGGTGCCTGTAGCCTTATCCTTTCACTGACTAATGGGATAACGAAGGGCTTAACCCTCGCCATCTGGTCACAAGCTCTTGGGCCGTGTGTGGCTCGGCATGTACCAAATACGCATGGTCTCACTGAGCAGATTGACGTAAATGAACTTATGTGTTTCGTCTGTTTAGCGCAATTTAAGGGATCCGGCTTGGGGCAAGGTATTGGGGTTAGGGTCGGTCTTTCACAAGAACTGGGAAAAAAGACATTATCCCAATTTCTGCTTTTCCAGAAACAATGGGGTTAGATTTTTCCTTCAGTTACCTAGTTACATCTGTAAACTGAATACACCCGGTTACCCTTTCACGGCAAGTATTCGCAGAGTTACAAGAACTGTTATTTCGACTTTCACACTTTTTACAATTTCGAGGCAGTTTGAAAGTTACATTGTCCCCACATAAATACTACAGTGATATTGACTGGGCTCCGTATATGATTCAACCTGTGACATGGCCCGATTATAATGTAATATAAGGTTAAGAAAGACAAGCGACAGCATACCGAAACATGAGTCTCATTAACCAATTCAGACAATGACCTACTTTTCAGCTGATCCGAATTTTCTCGTGAGAAAGTGAAAAGAGACACTACAAACAACTATGGTTACACTAAATTCCAATTCCTTGTTTCATAAGAAAATTGTATTTACAAATCAATTGTAATTTTAAAGTTTAAACAAATCGTACTTCTATATTTTATGTCGAGGTTTAGGCAGCATGTCGTTAACTAAGACGTCACAGTCTGCCCCAGTTTGATTCACAATTCATCTGGCTCTCTGGTTACACCTGTGTTTTTTTGCGCCTATTAAATGTATTTTTGTAACGTACAATGGGATTGATATAAAATCAAGTCCGTACCAGACCGCCAAACTTTTCTAGCGGCCGAGCCTTGTTTTGAGATTTCCACGATTTCCAGATTTCTGTTTGTCAGAGCACGCTGTATGACAATTTTGCAAGGATTAGAAGGAGCGTAGTGTTGTAATATACAAGTGATTAGATGTATCAAAATAATACTGATTTATATTCATATATCCAGTTGAATGAGTTGGTCGCAAGATTCTGGACTGGTTATTGTACTATGTTGCGCAATAGGACGGAACCCAGTCAGCAGGACTGACTGACTGAGTTTGGTTTTACGCCGCTTTTAGCAATATTCCAGCAACATCACGGCGGGGGACACCAGAAATGGGCTTCACACATTGTACCCATGTGGGGATTCGAACCCGGGTCTTCGGCGTGACGAGCGAACGCTTTAACCACTAGGCTACCCCACCGCCCCCAGTCAGCAGGAAACGAGACTGTTGTGTAATCAATGTTTTGACTAGAACGGTCTGTGTTTGCTTTGGGTCTGCCAGAGGTTGTGCGTTACTCAAACTGATGGTTACAACATGGGGCAGGCGAAGGTAAACTGTGTCTTATGTCAAGTGTGAAGCTCAATAAAATTATTCAGAAATCAAATGATGGACCATACATGTTCATGAAAACGTTATTCATGTTTGGATGCACATTTGGATCTTTTTCGTGCTTGTTGGGAGCCTTAAACTCACACAGGTTGTGTCTAACGTGAACAGTACAGAATGACCGTTTAGCTATCATGCAGATGCTATTGAAAGTACTTCATTAACTGTAAATATCACCTACGCTATGCCATAGCTTGCTGGAAATCGACGTCAACCCTTGGCTATGCTGTAAACAATGTTGCCAGACATCTAAATATTGAGACCGCCTCCGTGGTGTAGTGGTTAGAGCGTCCGCCCGGAGAACGGAAGGTCGCGGGTTCCATCCCCAGCCGCGTCATACCAAAAGACGTTAAAATATGGTACTTGTTGGTCCCTGCCTGGCGCTAGGCATTAATGGGTACAACAAGGACTGGTCGGCTCGGAGTCAGTATAATGTGTCTGAGTGGGGTATTCATGCTTCACTGCGGCATGGTATCTCAGTGGACTAGCACTATAAAACCAGCTTCAGTCTGGGCTAGTACAAGCAGCCGCACATACACATACACACGCATGCACGTCGTCATATGAGCGAAATATTCTCAAGCACGACATTAAACCCAATTTCACTTCACCTCACCTCTAAATATTGAACGAAATCCATGTCATCTCTTTCAGGACGTCACATTCGTTTGGTGCATCTGCGGAATCGATGCCACATTAACAGTTTGGAAAACTACTTGCTTGAGGCCAATTGGTGGTCAGTTAGTATCTGAACTCTACAAGCAGTCGCTTGAGGAAGCAGGTAATCCAGGCCCCGACTTCCAGCGACGAGCGGACAGGTCTGATGGTCGTGCATGGGCCAACCCACTCAGCCATTGTGGCTTTCACAAACTGACTGACAGCTTGCTTGCTTGTTTGTTGTGTAACGTAGCACCTGTTCCATCTACATGGCGGTGGTCAGTAGATAATCGAGGCTTGACCAGATAATCCAGTGATCAACAACACGAGCATTGATCTACGCAGTTGGGATACGATGAAATGTGTCAACCAAGTCAGCGAGCCTGATCTCCCGACTCCGTTAGTCGTACCAATTTATCCCGTTGACTTTGTGTAACTCGAATCTGATGGGACTCAACCCCCAAAAGTACTAGAATTTGTACTTTAATGAGAAAGTGTGATCTCAACTATAACAAGTGTTACTTTCGTTAATTGCCGGTATTTTATCCAAGTCTCACTCCCATCAGGTGAGGTGAGGTGAAATTGGGTTTTACGTCGTGCTTGAGAATATTTCGCTCATATGACGACGTGCATGCGTGTGTATGTGTATGTGCGGCTGCTTGTACTAGCCCAGACTTAAGCTGGTTTTATAGTGCTAGCCCACTGAGATACCATGCCGCAGTGAAGCATGAATAGCCCACTCAGACACATTATACTGACTCCGAGCCGACCAGTCCTTGTTGTACCCATTAATGCCTAGCGCCAGGCAGGGACCAACAAGTACCATATTTTAACGTCTTTTGGTATGACGCGGTCGGGGAATCTATTATATGGTCTCTGCTCCCATAGACAAGGCATGCGATGGGATAGATGGACGCATACAGTGAGACCAGAACCAATCGGGAACGTTAGGTCAGTGGGGACAATCTTTGTTTGTTTCCAATCATCTCATGTCATCTATGCGCGGCCTCTACCTATTATCGCCAACGGTCTTGACATCAGATATTGATGTTGCAGACTGAGATGTTACCATGTCCCGTTTTCAGTGCTTGTCGCTCTGTCTCATTTTACCAAGTGTGGGTTTTGTCAATAACTTGTTAAGATGAAACATTGATCAGGACATTGACCAAGTATTAGGGTGTTATTATAAATAACAAAAACTTCACAACCCTTTATGCAAAACATGGTTAATTTTTTTTAGCATATAGGAGTGATCGGTTTAGGCCATAACAAATAAACTCTTTGAGATTGGACTAGGCAGTGCATGGGGTAACCCTGAGACCAAATACCGACATTTGATCTCTGGGCGGCCTAATGGTTAAGCCGTTGGCTCCTCACACAAAGACCAGGGCCTAGATTTTTCGAAGCTCTCTTAGTGCTAAGATAATCGTAAGTGCCATACATTAACATTAACTTACGACTATCTTAGCGCTAAGAGAGCTTCGAAAATCTAGGCCCTGGGTTCGATTGGGTACAATGTGTGAAGCCAATTTCTGGTGTCCCAAGCCGTGATATTCCTTGAATATTGCTAAAGGCGGCGTAAAACTATACTCATTCATTGGGTTCGACACCCTTTTCTACGATTCGCGTCTAGTCTATGATGAGACTTTACTGACCATGCCGCTTGGGTCACAAAGCCCCATTTATCCAGAGTTACAGTAATATAATATAGTACTGGTAGTAGTATTTATAGCAGAGGTAATGCATGGTCCATATACCGCTTGAGTAGTCAAATTTTGGAAGAAATCCTATAAGTTGATATATCACGAAAACGTCCTACATTGTAACTGCTTCATTCGCCTTTATACATCATCATCAGTCTCTGACAATTCTGATAATTGAATCCTGTCACTGGATGTCTTAAGTTTGTATAGCTATTGGACTAAAGGGTGGGTGCTGTGCTCCATGCACGGTGTCAGTTCGTCTACAAATCCAGTATAGTGCAACCTGTAAAACAACAGATCCATTATCTTTGTGAAATTAGATTATTGATTAGGTTTTAGATGGATATACATAATTGTATTTTAGTACACACACACACAAATAGGGGTTCGGATTGTTTTAACTCAGGAATACCATTTGGAACAGATTCCATGTATTTATTGACACGTGTCACCTAGTCAAACCGAATCTGGAAAAACGCGTAAATCGCAGGCACAGAACGACGGGCGTCAGTGCATTGTTTGAGTCACGTTTAGTTCTCTACAGTGTTTGCCCCCAAATCCTCGATTCCGGTGATATCAGTGAACCAATTAGTTCACAGACTCTTGGCGTTATATTGAGAACCTTTGTTGGGATTTCACAGTTGTTTTTGCCTTGAACATTAATGTTCGGTAATTAATGAAATGACTGATTTAAAATAATCACATGTAAAATGTAGACTTCCAAACAAGTAATCAACTAATTGTCCCTGCACTGTGTATTTGCCGGAAACGTATGAAATCCTATTCAAAATTATGATTGATTATGTCGATGTGTCCAGTATATATTTGCAGTCTTCGTGATAGCCATAAGAAAGTTGTTGTTTGAACGCGTGACATATAAAATTTCCTGATATTTTCTTCAGTAAAAAACATATTTTAAAGGATGAATACTCCGTCTCTATAACCCCGAAGACCCATGAAGATCCGGGTTAAACTTGGTATTCAACAACCCAACCGTTGAAGACTAGGGTCTTCAGCAACCCATGCTTATCGTAAGAGGCGACTAACAGGATCGCTGGCTTGGTTAACACATGTCATCGTATCTCAATTGCGTAGATGGTGTTCATGCTGTTGATCACCGGATTGTCTGATCCAGACTCAATTATTTAGAGAACGGCGCCATATAGCTGGAATATTGCGGAGTGCAGCGTTAAACAACAAACAAACAATTATTGTAATACGGAAGTATCCTCATTGGTCAAATTCACAAGTTTGCACGTATATATTTTGAGGGTTTGAAGTGAAAGAATTAATATCTTTCAGGTTTTAGATATTAACATTCCTTGTGCATAAATATACCGTTGTGATAGACAATATTTTTGCCCAAATTGGGTCAAGTTTTCTTATCGTGCAGAAAAACAACAACCCCAAACATCTGAACATCTTTCTCACGCATCATGTCTCCAGAGGTTATTAGATTACCATATTAAGACGCATGGAGTCACTGGGCCTATTAAGCTTACAATGGTGGAAAACAAGACATCTGAAACGTGCAACAGGTCAGAAGAGCTCTTATTTATCCCAATTTCGAGGATAAATTAGATGAATGAGTTTTCTAACACGACAGCAGAATGTACAGACAAGGTACTCACTGGCTAACACCAAGGCGATTATGCCCGCGAGGGGATTGAAGAACACCGTTGTACACAGCGCCAGCCACATGTAGTTTGGAGGTTTGGTCTCTAGAACTGGGATGTTGTAGATGTCGGAGCTCTTTTCCTCCCCCTCAACAACGTTCCCAGACCTAAGGGGGTCTGTTTCCCCTGCTAGTTCCACTTCAGAAAATACACCACCGTTGGAATTCTTGAAATATCCATTGGGATCAAATGTTTCACTCGTTTCTGTGTCTGCCGCGGCTGGCATAATGAAAGGAGGATTTAACTGATGGATCTAGTTGGTGGTGAATCTATCCTAATGAAAATATATCCCATCCGCGTGTGTTCCTTCAGAACATCACTTTAAGAACAATTGGATTCCTGGGAAAAGTCGTTTTTCTCTCTAATAGTCATCAGAATCACGAAATGGTTGCCATGGTCACGACTTCCACTTACTTTACATAATCGTGCCACACATTTCATACGAATGTGTACGAGCGTGTAATAGGCACCGTGTTTTGTAGATGATGCTTAACTGGTTCCCGCTGATTGATGGTTGGAATCAAATAAGTTATCCGTTGGCGAGCTGAAATCTTTGCTAAACCCGAGTTGACAAAATCCATAAATTGAAATCGTGTAAACATGGTTAGGAATATAAGCCTAAAGACGAATTATCACTCACTTCCAAGCACCACAACTGTCATTCAAAATTGTCCAAGCAGTAATTCAAACAGTTTGCAACGGATGTCGTCTGCTCACGAAATCTTCCAATCTGGGGCGAGCAGACGACAGCGTAATGACTAACCCGAATCATAGAGAGGCTGGGAGTGACTGATCATTATTAGAGCAACGATGAGAGCTAAGGTTTTGTCGTCTTCACCCCTCTCAGAATCGATCATATATCTACGTTGACACTAAATGATAGAAATCGGACGTAGACCTGTCAAACGTTCGGACTTTCGCTTATTGCGTCAGTTGAGTCGTACGGCACAGGAAGGACAGGAGCAATTTTGGACACCTGTCCATTCCACTTTTCATTCTCATAACCGTATGAAGACGCTGTAGACTATCTTGTATATCAAAGCAGTGATTCCCGGTAGAAAAAAAGTTGTATTTCTGAATCTGATAAATCGAAGCCCTCCGCTCAGACCTTACTGATACTGTTGATATTCCTCGTACAATTAGTGGAAACACTTTCATTCAGTCCAAACACCAGTGTGCGTTTGTCGTTGGAGCCACGGTTGTAATGCATGACAGTATATTCCTCTAGTCTTGCAGTGTGAGCTTGGGGTAGCATCATAGGGAACAGCAGATTGCTGCCTTTGCTTGGTATGCCTGTAGATTTCACGTAAAATGGGGTTGTTTAATTAGGGTTTAACCGCAAGATTGCTGTGTTGTGTTACTGTTTCAGTATTGGTTTATTCTGTTTCTGTAGTGAGGATAGACAATTTGGAGTTAGCCTTCCCTTATATTTCACTCATATTGTAATTTGTAGGTTTTTGTAGTGCTAGGCGGTTGTTACCGTGAGAGGCGACTAACGGGATCGGGTGGTCAGGCTCGCTAACATGGTTGACACATGTCATCGTATCCCTGTTACGTAGATCGATGCTCATGCTGTTGATCACTAGATTGTTTGGTCCAGACTCGATTATTTACTGACCGCTGCCATATAGTTGGAATATTGCTGGGTGCGGCGTTAAACAATATCCAACCAACCAACTGTTATATGATGCACCAGATACCACACTCACTTTAATGAGTTTAATCAGGACGGGCCTTGTTTTGCTACTTCGATGCATATTTAATTTCATGCCACTGCAAACGTTGCCACACAATAGTGGCTGCCTGTATATAACTAACTTGGACACTGTAGGTGTATCTCCTGGCATACACCAACACTCTCGGCTGTATGATATTCGTGACACTATCAGGCGTTTACTTGTATACCTCCGACACTGTCAGGTGTTTTCTGATATATCCCTGACATCGTTGTGTGCGTTTCCTTGTATATCCCCAACATGGGCCCCCTTTCACAAACTGATCTTAGTTTCCTGGTATATCCCGAACACTGTCAGGTGTGTTTCCAGGTACATCCCAAACACTGTCAGGTGTGTTTCCTTGTATATCCCAAACACTGTCAGGTGTGTTTCCTTGTATATGTGTATCCCTGACATGGTCAGGTGTTTCCTTGTATATCCCGAATACTGTCAGGAGTGTTTCCTGGTATATCCCGAACACTGTTTCCTGGTATATCCCGAACACTGTCAGGTGTGTTTCCTGGTACAAACCGAACACTGTCAGGTGTGTTTCCTAGTACATTCCAAACATTGTCAGGTGTGTTTCCTGGTATAACCTGAACACTGTCAGGTGTGTTTCCTGGACACTGACAAGGTGTGTTTCCTTGTACATTCCAAACACTGTCAGGTGTGTTTCCTCGTACATGTATATCAACACTGTCTGGCGTGTTTCCTGTCTGGCGTGTTTCCTGGTACATGTATATCATCAACACTGTCAGGTGTGTTTCCTGGTACATCCCGAACACTGTCAGGTGTGTTTCCTGGTACATGCCGAAGACTGTCAGGTGTGTTTCCTTGTATATCCCTGACATGGTCAGGTGTGTTTCCTGGTACATCCCGAAGACTGTCAGGTGTGTTTCCTGGTACATGCCGAAGACTGTCAGGTGTGTTTCCTGGTACATCCCTGACATGGTCAGGTGTGTTTCCTGGTACATCCCAGGTGTGTTTCCTGGTACACTGAACAGGTCAGGTGTGTTTCCTGGTACATGCCGAAGACTGTCAGGTGTGTTTCCTTGTATATCCCTGACATGGTCAGGTGTGTTTCCTGGTACATCCCGAAGACTGTCAGGTGTGTTTCCTGGTACATGCCGAAGACTGTCAGGTGTGTTTCCTGGTACATCCCTGACATGGTCAGGTGTGTTTCCTGGTACATCCCGAACACTGTCAGGTGTGTTTCCTGGTACATCCCGAACACTGTCAGGTGTGTTTCCTGGTACATGCCGAAGACTGTCAGGTGTGTTTCCTGATACATCCCTGACATGGTCAGGTGTGTTTCCTGGTACATCCCGAACACTGTCAGGTGTGTTTCCTGATACATCCCTGACATGGTCAGGTGTGTTTCCTGGTACATCCCTGACATGGTCAGGTGTGTTTCCTGGTACATCCCTGACATGGTCAGGTGTGTTTCCTGGTACATCCCGAACACTGTCAGGTGTGTTTCCTGGTACATCCCGAACACTGTCAGGTGTGTTTCCTGGTACATCCCTGACATGGTCAGGTGTGTTTCCTGGTACATCCCTGACATTGTCAGGTGTGTTTCCTGGTACATTATCAACACTGTCAGGTGTGTTTCCTGGTACATCCCGAACACTGTCAGGTGTGTTTCCTGGTACATCCCTGACATGGTCAGGTGTGTTTCCTGGTACATCCCGAACACTGTCAGGTGTGTTTCCTGGTACATGCCGAAGACTGTCAGGTGTGCTTCCTTGTATATCCCTGACATGGTCAGGTGTGTTTCCTGGTACATCCCTGACATGGTCAGGTGCGTTTCCTGGTACATGCCGAAGACTGTCAGGTGTGTTTCCTTGTATATCCCTGACATGGTCATGTGTGTTTCCTTGTATATAGTAGATGCTGTCAAGTAAACCACCTACACGGTCGGAATGGTTAGGTGTGTTTCTTGGTATATCATCATGACCATAAGTTGTGTTTCCTTGTATATCTTGAACACTGTAAGGTGTGTTTCCTTGCATATCCCAAACACTGCCAGGTGTGTTTCCAGGTGTGTTTCCTTGTATATGCCAAACACTGTCAGGTGTGTTTCCTGGTACATGTGTATGCCTGACATGGTCAGGTGTTTCCTTGTATATCCCGAACACTGCCAGGTGTGTTGTTTCCTTGTATATCCCAAACACTGTCAGGTGTGTTTCCTGGAACATCCCAAACACTGTCAGGTGTGTTTCCTGGTATAACCTGAACACTGTCAGGTGTGTTTCCTGGTACATCCCGAACACTGTCAGGTGTGTTTCCTGGTATAACCTGAACACTGTCAGGTGTGTTTCCTGGTGTATCCTGAACACTGACAAGGTATGTTTCCTGGTACATCCCGAACACTGTCAGGTGTGTTTCCTGGTACATCGAATGTCAGGTGTGTTTCCTGGTACCCGAACACTGTCAGGTGTGTGTTTCCTGAACACTGACAAGGTATGTTTCCTGGTACATCCTGAACACTGTCAGGTGTGTTTCCTGGTGTATCCTGAACACTGACAAGGTATGTTTCCTGGTACATTCCAAACACTGTCAGGTGTGTTCCCAGGTACATCCCGAACATTGTCAGGTGTGTTTCCTGGTACATTCCAAACACTGTCAGGCGTGTTTCCTGGTACATGTGTATCATCAACACTGTCAGGTGTGTTCCCAGGTACATCCCGAACATTGTCAGGTGTGTTTCCTGGTACATTCCAAACACTGTCAGGTGTGTTCCCAGGTACATCCCGAACACTGTCAGGTGTGTTTCCTGGTACATTCCAAACATTGTCAGGTGTTTCCTGGCGTATCCCAAACACTGTCAGGTGTGTTTCCTGGTACATTCCAAACACTGTCAGGTGTGTTTCCTGGTATATCATCAACACTGTCACTGTCAGGTGTGTTTCCTGGTACATTATCAACACTGTCAGGTGTGTTTCCTGGTATATCCCGAACACTGTCAGGTGTGTTCCCGAACACTGTCAGGTGTGTTTCCTGGTACATATCAACACTGTCAGGTGTGTTTCCTGGTACATTCTCAACACTGTCAGCTGTGGTTCCTGGTACATGCAGGGTACATCCGAACACTGTCAGGTGTGTTTCCTGGTATATCCCTGACATGGTCAGGTGCGTTTCCTGGTACATGCCGAACACTGTCAGGTGTGTTTCCTTGTATATCCCTGACATGGTCATGTGTTTCCTTGTATATCCCTGACATGGTCATGTGTTTCCTTGTATATAGTAGATGCTGTCAAGTAAACCACCTACACGGTCGGAATGGTTAGGTGTGTTTCTCGGTATATCATCATGACCATAAGTTGTGTTTCCTTGTATATCATGAACACTGTAAGGTGTGTTTCCTCGCATAGATATCCTTGTATAAACACTGTCAGTTGTGTGCCCTTGTATATGCCAAACACTGTCAGGTGTGTTTCCTGGTATATCCCAAACACTGTCAGGTGTGTTTCCTGGTACATTACAAACACTGTCAGGTGTGTTTCCTGGTATAACCTGAACACTGTCAGGTGTGTTTCCTGGTACATAACCTGAACACTGTCAGGTGTGTTTCCTGGTATATCGAACACTGTCAGGTGTGTTTCTGGTGTGTTTCTGTGTTTATATCATCCAACACTGTCAGGTGTGTTTCCTGGTACATCCCAAACACTGTCAGGTGTGTTTCCTGGTATAACCTGAACACTGTCAGGTGTGTTTCCTGGTGTATCCTGAACACTGACAAGGTATGTTTCCTGGTACATTCCAAACACTGTCAGGTGTGTTCCCAG